TAAGACTAACTTATGTCAACAGTATCTTCTTATTTGGAAGTTGTGTAGCTTGAAATATCAGATGCTTGGGAAGACTGTTATCCCTTCATTTCTGTTAATATGTCAGCCAGTGTCAGGAGCAAGATGGACTGGATGGAGCTTATCTTTTAGGGTTATGGCTTAGGTTAGCTATAAAAGCTGCTCCTGTGTTTATTTTCTTATGGCCCTAAGGAATTTTCTTGGAAAGATTGTTCACAGTGAGTTTGGTTTGCCTTCCTCCAAGGCTGAGAGACTGTAACCTGCCCAAGGTCACCCAGTGAGTTTTCAGGGCAGGGATTTCAACTTTAGTCTCCAGAGTCTAAAGCTGTAATCACTATACTATGCTGGCTCTTTAAGCAGAGCAGATCCATACTTGTCTAACTAGAATAGATCCCATACCCTTTTGTATACATCTCATTTATGGATCTCATTGAAGGATAAACAAACCAACGATGTCTTGCTGATATTTTCTCTGTATTCTAGTCTTGCGATGCCTGGGAATTGCAACCAGAAGTGTGACAGCATACAGTGCTGGTGTCGATAAAGATGGAAATTTAAAAATAGATCATCATGCTGGGGAGAAAATTTGGTAAGTAAAGTTTGGAAGACCCTTGGCAGGTGTGTTTGTGGGGTTCCAGGTGGCAACATATTGGGCATGGAATACTCAGAGTTAAGAAAAGTCACTTTTTCATTATTTTTCCCAGAATCCCTAACTCATGCTAGTCAAGGGATCCTAGGAGATGCAGTCCAAACAAACAATGCCATTTCCCAAGCTGTATTCAAGAGAAGTCATCCCTGTGCCACACTGCCACACTTCATGAATTTTGACTGTATCTTATTGCCATTTTGAGAACCTGGCAATACTAAAGAAGACAGTTTCACACAATATAGGAATGCAAGCGAGAAGCACTCAAGCCACACTCAAAATGCAACCACAGAACATCTAACCATCCAAAAGCAGCAAAAGCCAGATTTGAACATTCCACTAGAAATTGTAACTGAACTCTAGCAGGGGATAATTGATGACTTATTTCCAATTGACAAAAGAAATGGTTTTCTACCAGCAGACCAAGAGAAGATGAATAACATCATATGATAATGCCCACCCAAAGATACAATGATCCAGCTGTAATTCTCATATAGAGAGCCAGCATGGTGTAGTGATTAGACATTGGAAACTGGAATCTAGAATTTGAATTCCCACTTAGCCATAGGTGACTTTGGGCAAGTTACTCTCTCTCAATTTCGAAGAAAGACAAATACAAGCTTCCTCTGAACAAATCTTTCCAAGAAAATTCCTGGAGGCACACAACAACAATAACGGTATATTTGCCTCATATGATAAAACCCCTCCAAATACTCTTTGGACTTCTCTCATTCCTTGTCTGTTGCTCTGCAATTATATCACTTCCACTTACATGAGAGAATAGCTCAGTTGAAGAACCCATGCTTTTGTATGTAGAAGATTCTGAGTTTAGAATCTCATCATTGACAAGAAAGGTGGCAAGGTAGAGAAATACCACCTGAGTCTTTGAGAAACCAATCACTGACAAAAGTAGACAGCACTGGGCAAGATAATCCTATGGTGAGACCAAAGTAAGATATTAACATACCCAGTAGTTAACAGACTTCTCTATTGTCTTTCTGATTCACAAGCAGATTGTTCTGTACACAGAAATGCCAGTACTGTCAAATGCACATTAAGCTGTTTTAGCAAATGATGCCACAGCTAAGTCAAATACTTATTAAACAAGTCTAGCACCTAAAATCACAGATAAGAACAATTTTTGTTTTCTATTCTGACTCCGAACTGACTATAGGAACTTTCATGTATGGAATGATGTCTGGATTAAAAGACCTGATTTACCAGATGGCTATGATGGTTGGCAAGCAGTTGATGGCACAAATCAAATAAGAAGCGATGGTAAGATTTGATCATGATAAATAATAGAAAATAATGAGCAAAGTAAAAGGTTAAAGACTTCTTAGGATTACAATTGGGGCGGTTCTACACAGGCACTAAATCCAAGTTAGGAAGCGCATTAAAAGGAGCCGGTTCTGCTCCGGAGAGCCTACACAAACAGGAACTGCTTCCAGGCTGGGCCAGTAGCCACTAGGGCTGTGCAAAAATTCATTTGTGAGTTGGAAGTCAGAAGTGTTTCATTAAATCTATATTTATGATATGATTTTAGAAGCCAGAGACACATCCCCACAGAACACGAACGATTCAAAACACCATTTTCTGATATTTTCAGAAGAAATTTGCTTGTGTTCGTGTGTCTCCATGAGTCCACTTTCCTGGGAGGTACAGTTAACATGCTTAATTACATGCTCTCAGCCTATCAGGGCTAAGGGAGAGGGGAAGAGAGGAGACCGAGCCCCAGAGTTTCTCCATTGGAGGAGCAGCCAGCTGTGCGGCTTTGATAAGTGCTCCACATCTCCTCCTCCCAGTTTTGAGCCCTGCATGGAATATACTCTGGCTGCAGTGCATGTTTTTGGGTTATTCTGCACTTTGTGCTGAGTGTTTGTTTTGCACAGTTTTGGGTTTAACGCATGGTGCAGCATACATTGGGAGAGAATACTTCGTGGACACTCCGCACTTGAGCTGTTTTCAAACTGCATTATATGGTCTGTGTAGAACTGCCCCTGGCTAAATTAAAACAAGAACATTTCTTTTACATCACTCTTTCATCTGTACCATATTAAATACAAATTTAAACAAGTTATGCAAGCTTTTTCTAATCTGTGGCTCTTCATGCTACTAGGTCCAACTGAATCAGGTAGGATATATGAGCCTAAATCACATTTAGTCTCAATTTAAATCCAGTCAATGGGTGTCCTCTGGACTCAATGAGTGTACTCTGAGGGAAATTAACGCTGACCGATAGAACTTCATAACGTGACTACTGGAGCAGAGTGTAATATAAGTTGACATGATGCGATACACAAATGTGACTGTATATTGTAGTTTTGTTTGTAAATGCCTTATTTTATGATATTCATATTTATTACTGATGTATCTGGTCTGTTGTATGATTTTGAGATTTTGTAAGCTGTTTTGGGTCCCATGAGGGAGAATAGCGGGGTATAAATAAATATTTATTATTATACTAGCTGTCCCCTGCCATGCGTTGCTGTGGCCCAGTCTGGTGATCTGGAAAATAATGTAATGAGAAAGTGTTGGTTTCTAATATACCGTCTATACTCGAGTATAAGCCGACCTGAATATAAGCCGAGGCACCTAATTTTACCACAAAAAACTGGGAAAACATATTGACTCAAGTATAAGCCGAGGGTGAAAAATGCAGCCGCTACTGGTTATTTTCAAAACTAAAATTAGATATCACAGCAAACCAGCTGGCAGACAGGCTGCACGCGCGGCGAATAGGAGAGCAGAGAAGCTGCGCGCGGGACAAGTGAAGGGGAAATGGAGTCACATACCTCCCTCCCTGCACGTCATGCCGCGCACGCACGCATGCCTCCATTTCTTCCCCACTCACCGCGCATGCAGCCTCTCTTCCTTTCGCTCACACAGCAAGACAAGCAGAAGAGAGGCTGCATGCGCGTTGAATGGGGAAGAAATGGAGGCATGCAGGGAGGGAGGTGCACGCCTCCGTTTCTCCCCCATTCACCCTGTGCGCAACCTGTCTTGCTCTCCGAACAGCAACCCAGCTGGGTTGCTATGCGGAGAGCAGAGGGCGTGTGCACAGCGAATGGGGGGAGAAATGGAGGCGTGCACCTCCCTCCCTGCCTGTCTTGCTGTGTGCATGGAAGGAAGAGAGCTTCCCCATTCAACGCGCATGCAGTCTCTCTTTCTTCCACGTACACAGCAAGACTAGCAGGAAGAGAGGCTGCATGCATGTTGAATGGGGAAGAAATGGAGGCGTGCGTGCGCGTGTGGCAAGACGTGCAGGGAGGGAGGTGCATGCCTCCGTTTCCCCTTCATTTGCCCCGCGCACAGCTTCTCCGCAGATACAGCGGAGGAGGAAGCTGTGGGGGTGAAAACAAGACCAGGGATTCCACCAGCCAGCATAAGAGCCTTTTTTTCTCAGCTTTTTCTCCTTCACCCGAATATAAGCCAAGAGGGGCTTTTTCAGCCCCCTAAAAGGCATTGAAAAACTCAGCTTATATTTGAGTATATACGGTATGTAATTTCTTTATGCTTGTGGGTAAACAGTATTTCTTGCTGTTTCTTTGTCAGTGTTGATGTAGAGATTGTCTGGTTTGCCTACTCTGGAACATGCAACATATAATTGTCCTTCTTTAGGGATCCCCTTCAAATCTCTGATACTATATCTGTCATATACATATGTGTGTGTGTGTGTGTGTGTGTGTGTGTGTGTGTGTGTGTGAGTGAGTGTGTGAATCATATCTATCTATCTATCTCTATGTCTGAATGGTTCTTTGTCAGGAGGGCTTTGATTATGTTTTCTTGCCCCGGTGAAGGGAGTTGGACTGGATGGCCTTAAGGCAGCATTTCTCAACCTGGGGGTTGACCCCTGGGGGGTTACGAGGGGTGTCAAAGGGTCACCAAAGATAATCAGAAAACACAGTATTTTCTGTTGGTCATGGGGTTCTGTGTGGGAAGTTTGGCCCAATTCTATCATTGGTGGGGTTCAGAATGCTCTTTGATTGTAGGTGAACTATAAATCTCAGTAACTACAACTCCAAAATGTCAAGGTCTATTTTCCCCAAACTCTATCTCTGGCAGTAAATAAATAAATAAATAAAATTTCTTTAGCTGCAGTTCAGCTACCATTCTTTCCTGAGTGGAAAGATGCAGTGGAGTCATGAGTCACGGGTTCTTAATGCAAGAAGAAAAGCAAGTAACATTCTTCAAATTTCTCTATAGGAATTTTTTGTTGTGGCCCTGCATCACTAAAGGCGATCAAAAATGGTGAAGTCAATCTTGACTATGACACCAGGTTCCTGTTTGCTGCAGTGAATGTAGAATTGGTCAACAAAAACTTGGAGTGTGAGAAAATCAAAACAAGAATCGTCACCAAATCTCTTTGTAGAGAGAAGCCTTTTGAAGACATCATCGCTGATTACAAATTTCCAGAAGGTAACAAATACCTGAAGGTTATATTTCTCTCACAAAGTTGAACAGAAAGATAAAAGTTCAGCTAAAGAGATGTTTTCTCAGGCTAACCATCAAACATATAAATGTGTTTAGTAGTTGTTGGCATGTAGAGTAACTAAGTTTCCTGTATTTCCCAGGAACTCCTGTAGTAGAGCTATTTTTTAATCTTTCCAGCTCTCATGGTGATCTTCTATTTCTCCCATATATTTCATTAACGATCACATTAACTTTCCATCTCAATTTACAGCCACACCCCACCACAGCTCTGACCACCCTAGCTTCCACTTCCTCTTCCGGCTCAAAGCCTCATTTGTCCTGACTCCAGGAATGGAGCCACAACCGTTAATGTGGTGTCAAACTGCTAGAATGCTGCAATGAGGATTCAGCCTTAGACGTCTATTACCGGACACTGTTCTAAAACGCTATTCTATTCTATCATTCTCACTATGATAGCAAATTCTGCAAGAGCTTTCTTGCTGGGAATTCTAAATGCCTTTTCCTAAACTCTCCCAAACTACAGATCCCAGGATTCCATATGTTGTTGCCATGGCAGTTAAAGTGGAATGATACTGTTATAACAGTGTTGTAAAGATTTGTTGACGTTTGTATGAGAAGATTAAAACTGCTTAGATCTAAAGTATTGGTGGACAAATATATATGCGTATATGGGTTAGAAATAAGACACATGCAAAAAAAAAAACCTTATTGTGACATGCCTTTAACTGCCATGGCTCAATTCTATGGAATCATGGGAGTTATAGTTTTACAAGGACTTTAACCTCTGCCAGAGAGTGCTGGTGCCTCACCAAGGTATAACCCCCAGGATTACATAGAACTGAGCCATGGCAATCAAGGTGGTGTCAAACTGCAAAATTTTCTACAGTGTAAGTACACCCTCAGTTGGGTTTATTCCCCAAATAGCATGCATAGAAATTCTATCCCAAAATACTAAAAATTGAAGGCTTCAGGCAAATATGTGTGTTTTGTTTAGGGAGTAAATAATGGCAGTACCAAGAGGTTGTCTCCATAAAATGTTCCAAAAATAAGGTCCCAAAACACACTCTGCCTTACATCCCATGCCAACAGGGGGAAATGGGGCGTTGGGAAGCCCTTATCTCAAGTTGTTTAGAATTCCATGAATTAAAGCATTTATCTGTAATTGTCTCTGGAAATGAATTAGAAATCCATGCAACTACTTCAAAACTGCAATAATGTACATGCTCCATTTGTTTGGTCTTGTTTAATATATGTGTTGTTGTACTTTGCTCTGCTTGGAGAATGTGACCAGTTTTTAAAAAGTGGCTCCTTGTGCAACTAATGGCAATATTCCAAAAAATACCTTATCAGTACCCAGTTTCTCCCATCTAGCACATCAATGCAGCACAATGATGCTACAGTGGCATTTACCTGCATATAGATATCTAAAAGCAATGCCAGATCTGAGCGCATCCACCAACTGCAAACCCTCAGCAATAATTACCATATATACTCGAGTATAAGACGACCCGAATATAAGCCGAGGAACCTAATTTTACCACAAAAAACTGAGAAAACGGATTGACTCGAGTATAAGCCGAGGGTGGGAAATGCAGCAGCTACTGGTAAATAGCAAAATAAAAATAGATACCAATTAAATTACATTAATTGAGGAATCAGTAGGTTATATATATTGAATATTTACAAAAATGATAATTTAAGATAAGACTGTCCAACGCTGATTAAATTATTTTTTACCTTCTTCAATGTAAATGTGCTTACGTATCCTTCCAATAATAATAAAGAGAGTAACATAATAAATGTAATAACAACAACAATAATAAAAAGAGTAAAATAATGAATGTAGCAATAACAACAATTATACAGTAAAATAATAAATGTATAATAATAGAGTAAAATGATAAATGTAATAATAACAAATAGAATAAAATAATAAATGAAATAATAATAATAATAATAATAATAATAATAATAATAATAACAGAGTAAAATAATAAATAACCTTGACTCAAGTATAAGCCGAGGGGAACTTTTTCAGCCTAAAAAAAGGGCTGAAAAACTAGGCTTATACTCGAGTATATGCAGTATTCTTCCAACTTTGACCAGTCACTTGTCCATAGCAGCTCTGTCTTGCCGGCCACCATTCAATCCTTACTTATTAAAGATAGCTGCATTTTATGGATTACTTGAATTTGATTAAATAAAACATAATTTCAAATTCATGGCATATTGGTGGCACTACAGTCCAAACCTCTCAGCTATTTTACATAGGGCCTTCCACACAGCCATATAACTTAGAATATCAAGGCAGATAACCCACAATATCTGCTTTGAACTCGGTTATCTGAGTCCACACTGCCATATAATCCAGTTCAATGTGGATTTTATACAGCTGTGTGGAAGGGGCCATAGATGTTATGTGGCACCAATGACAAGGCAAAACTGTGGGACAGTCTAGAAAACTTCCAAGGAGTAGACCAATAGTGCCTCTAGCTGCACATTCTGCCATCATTCTCACAAATATGGGAATAAATTGAGAGACATTCTCTTCCATTTGCATCCCAAGCAGCTAGTTCACAAACATATTATGAACGATCCTATGTAAGGCTCTCAAGAAGTCAATGAGAAATAACTAGGTGACCTTTCTCCCTTTCACAAAATAGGTCATCAAAAGGTGAAACCAGACTGGAATTGCTTCAGATTACTAGAATATCCCAAGAGATTCTCCAGTTTCCCAGAAAGCTGTTTGTTTTGACCATTCTGCTGACAAGTAACATTAACAATCCAGAGTTAAAATTGTCCTCCTATTTTCAGGATCAGAAGAGGGGAAAAAAGCTTTGGCACTTGCAGCTCATCTATCTGCAAAGTTTCCACCTATCCAGCAGAATGTTTGGGAAGGAACAAAAAAAGGTGTGTCCCATGAAGCCATATTTCATGTTCTCTTATTTTGATGGTGGCTATTAATCTCTGTAGAGGAGAAGGCTCCCGGTCTTTCTCTAACCACCTCTTCGCAAGGGGCATTTGTTGCAGGGCAAGGACAGGGCCTGCCATGCGCCATCACACGATGCATGGCAGGCCCTGCCCACATCCCTCCAAAATTGTGGTGGAAGCACCCAAGAGGAAAGTGTCATTTGAGTAGCTCCAATGGAACTACCCACACTTTCCTCCCCCTTTCCCCATATGATGGAGGAAAGAGTAATGGGGCAACATGGGTTGCCGCCCTTTCTCCCATCTTATGGGGACAGGGTGCCAACACCTTGTGAAGGGGGAAGGAGGGAGGCCTGGCAGGGTGCCACAAACCACCCTGCATGCCTTCCCTTTCATCAGTGATTGCCAACACAATTGCCATGGGAAGAGGTCCTAAGGCTGTGTCAACACTTTATTATTAATGCAGTTTGACAACACTTTAACTGACATACCTTGATGCTATAGAATCATAGGAGTTATAGTTTTACCAGGTCTTATGCCCCCTCTGCTAAATAGTGTTTGGTCCCTCACCAAACTATACTACTCCCTGGTGACATAGCATTGAGCCATAGCAGTTAAAGTGTTGCCAAACTGCATTAATTCTGTGTTGTAGATGCAGCCACAAGATAAAAGAGTTCCGCTATGCCTCATCTACACTGTCCAATTAGGTCAATTTGGAACCTGTTTAGCAGAAACTGGTTTCACTGTGCAGATTACATTATGTGACATGACTTTTGTCCTTGGGTTATAAATGCCATTTCCCAATTGGTTTTTATCATAAACTTTGTTTTTGTGGGACATCCTGCTGCACATTAAGCTATAGTCTTTCAATGAATATCTCATAGAGTCTCAACCTAGTTTGTGGCAGCCATAAAAATGAAGTTTCTGGAGTATGACAACTACTTTCAAAGTCAGCACCACACAAATAAACAGGAATAACACTTTCAAAACAGAAACAGAAAGTTTTGTTACATTGTGTTATTAGATTAACTTTTCCGGAATGAGTTCGAAACTTGTAAGGTGATTACAATTATCATGGAAAGTTGCCAGGAAATGGTTCAAGAATTCAGGTATCTGTGGCTTAAGAGATTTCAAAATTTGCAGGAGGGTTTTTTCACCATTTCCGGACGACATTTGGACCAAGTGCTCCAGAGAAAGATGAGGAGGAGAGAAAAGGGAAAAGTAACATTTAGCAGTGAGAGTCATCAATTACTCATCCAAGGGAGTCAATAACAATTGCCCCTTGGAGCGTTTTTCAGTAGATTCCCACCTTTAACATTCTGAATAGTTGGTCAGTGTAGATGTGCCCCTAGATTTAGCCTTCTCCATAAACTCGGAACAATTGATCTTACACACTTTCTTCTGCATACAATTCCTGCAGCATCTTTTGCACAATCAGGGCCTGATACACTGGCCTACTTGTGCTTTGCATGTTGACATTCAGAACTGAATCAGATACCAGACCTTCCCCACATCATTTTGATTTAAGGAGAGCTCTAGATGTACAGAGAAATCCTAAAGAAGCAGTAAAAGTAGAAACAATTTTTGTAGGTTGGCAACATGACATTTCCAAATGCATATTATTGGGGAGGGATGGGATAAAGATTATTTATAATTATTTGTATTGTTAATATCTTTTTATTTATTCTTTTACTAGGTTAGTCCCATCAAACAAAATAAAGTGTGCAGCAAAAAAACCCCAGGAGATCAACTGATAACAGCCAAATGAAACTCCAGCCAAGTGAAAGGAATTACTGCAACATAATTTATTGGCATCAATTGTCATGAGGCTGCACCAAAATAAACACTTTTGCCCAGCTTGCAGTCTTAATCACAGGGTAAAAATGTTTAATAGAGAATCATAATGGTCAAGTGTTTAAGTTCTGTACCAATAATTATTATTTTGATTGTAGTAGATAAGAATTTATTGTCGAAGGCTTTCATGGCCGGAATCACTGGGTTGTTGTAGTTTTTTTCGGGCTATATGGCTATGTTCTGGAGGCATTCACTCCTGACGTTTCGCCTGCATCTATGTCAAGCATCCCCTTTGCCTCTGAGGATGCTTGCCATAGATGCAGGTGAAACGTCAGGAGAGACTGCCTCTAGAACATGGTCATATAGCCCGAAAAAACCTATAACAACTAGATAAGAATTTAATTGAATCTTTTCTTAAATATGCAATATATGGCATATAAGTAGATCTACTTTTCTTTCATAATCTAGTTTTTCTATTATATAACCTCCAAATGCAAAATGCTTATGAGTTATTGCAGTAATAAAATTGCATGGCACACTTTTATCTTGTTACACCTGCATTACAATAAAGATGATTGCAAGCAACTTAATGCATTGTCTCTTATTCTATCCCCAAATGTGACCAGCAATTTTTTTTAATGTGAACTGTATTAACTAATTCATGGACTTGACAGATGGTTTTGTACACTAACATCATAAGGAACAGAAAGTAAAGATTTTAAGAGCCCCACATAAAAATAGTTAAGGTAGAAACTTTGGAGAATAGAGCATTTATTATGGGAAAATATCAGCTTGTTTAATACAGGAAGACAGGAAGGTTTGCTATTAAGTTGAATTTGTTTGTAAGTTGGAACAGGTACATTTTAAGTGTAACTCCAGTCTCTCTTTCTCTCTCTCTCACACACACACACATATGCATGCATACTTTGGAAAGCATAGTATTTGTTTTGCCATCTGTGCCCCTGTTCAGAAGATTTCACCTCACTTTCTGTCCCCGTGATAATTGGATTTTGAAAAATTTGGCTTATTGTGGAAACAAGGATTGGTGATACAGCTTCAATGGAGACACCTTTTCCCCATGATATCTCTTCTAGGAGTGTATTTCCCTTTCTAGAAATAGATTTCTCTCGCTTCCTGTTGTATCACCCCTGTTCATAACTATGAGTTGTTCATAAGTTGGATGTTTGTAACTCGGGGACTGCCTGTACTGAGATCCACTGACTTGATGCCTTTCAACAAAATTTCAGTCCCAGTGTACAATGATAATCTTCTTATCATATTTGTTCCATAGCTCATGAGAAATATGGATACTGAGTGAGAGAAAAATAAAAGTCATCTCATATGCTGCTCTAAATGATTAAGGGAATAGTATATTGTAGTAATGAGCAATAGTTTCCCAAGCAAAAGCATTCAGACTGTAGATGAATAATAATAAAGGCGAACATTTAATGCCTATATAAAACAGAAGTAAAAATATAAACAACAAACAATAAAATACATTACACAAGTTAAAACAAGTAGTTTAAATAATGACAATTAAATAATCAACATTTAAACCATTAAATGCCTTTTGAAGTGCCTTTCTTGTATAGTAGAGTTTCGCTTATCCAGCCTTCGCTTATCCAATATTCTGAAATATTGTCATTCTGTTAGTAGTAATGATGTATTGTGCATTATCTTCCTTGATGCTTTCTTTTTAAAACTTGAACTAGGCTAAGAAAGAACTGTCAACAGATGACAGGAGACCGATTAGGGATGATGACCTCAAAGGCACATCCAAAAGTATTTATGGATTTTCTTTTTGCCCTCCATAAATGCATTGTATTGTGTTTCCCTCTTTATGTTTCTCATCTTGAAGGTCTGCTTCTTCTGGGTCTGATCAGCTATAAAAGCACCAAAGTCACAACATGACTGCTGACTCTCTCATATTTTGCATTGTGAAAAAGAAGAACCCCCCCCCCCCTCCCCAAAATCCACTTAACAATTACTGATGTGGCCCAAAACCCTTATATTATTTTTGGCATAAATTTGAATTCTGCAACATTTCCACTGAGTTTGCAGCAACAAACCCAGCAAGAGATTTGTGAAATCTGAAAAACTTTACTAATGTGTTGCAGTCCAACTCGAACAGAAAAACATGGAGTGGTTACCTTAAATCATACCTGGGCCCTTAGTAAAGTAAACTATTCCATGAAAACTTCTACCTTAATACACTTCTGTTTCACCTGATGTCGCTGAGCTCAATGGGATTTACTCCTGAGAAAACACACATGGGACTAAAGTCTTTGTTAGCCTTTAAAGTGCTGCAAGACTCTGAAAGTATTTTATATAGATGACCATATGTGGCACACAGAGGTGATAGAATTAATACTGATTGAGCACCCCTTATCCAGAATTCCATAATCCAAAACTGTCCACATGGAGAGATACCTTTTTCTGATGGTTTAGTGTTCACAAACTTTGTTTTATTCACAAACTTATTGAAAATGTTGTATAAAATTACCACCAGGCCATGTATATAGGGTGTACATAAAACATAAATAAATTTGATGCTTAGACTTCAGCCCCATCTTGAAAGTATCTTACTACTTAGGCGATCCCTCGTTGTCCGAGGATGATGGTCCTCCAGGGTCAGTGTGCAGTATGTGGTGGATCCGTAGGTGACAGTGGAGCCCTATTCTTGATCTGCATCTTCTCCCGAAATGAGGGCATTGGCTTCCAGGTGGAATGTGGTCCCGGTCAGGGCTGGCTTGGCACGCCTTCCACTTGGCACATTTCTCTCTTTCGCCCTCCATTTGTGCCTCTTGAAATTCTAAAACACTGCTGGTTACAGCTGACCTCCAACTGGAGCGCTCAAGGGCCAGGGCTTCCCAGTTCTCAGGGTCTATGGCAGAGTTTTTAAGGTTGACTTTGAGCCCATCTTTAAATCTCTTTTCCTGCCCACCAACATTCTGTTTTCCGTTCTTGAGTTCGGAGTAGAGCAACTGCTTTGGGAGACAGTGGTCAGGCATCCAGACAGTGTGGCCGGTCCAGCGGAGTTGATGGTGGAGGACCATAGCTTCAATGCTGGTAGTCTTTGCTTCTTCCAGCATGCTGACATTTGTCCGCTTGTCCTTCCAAGGGATTTGCAGGATTTTTCAGAGGCAGCATTGATGGAATCGTTCCAGAAGTTGCATGTGATTGAGCTTATGGAGACTCTTAACACCATCAACTACACTTTTCAGGTTTTGCAAATGCAAATTCCTTTATTTGTTGGACAACCTTGTTACTCTAAGGACCAAAATCTTCCTGGGTGCCCTTTAATGGTTCTCCTGCTTTTGACACAGAGTATTTAAATACAGCTGTATTCACTCAGCTCTTCTCTTATACACCTATTCTAATGTGTTTGTAACTTCTTTGTGTATTAGATAGACTGCTTGTTAGATGTGTGCTTGATGTGTTTATTATAGCTACTTGCCTTTTTGTTTCTCTTGGTACCTTTTTAATCTTTAGCATAACATCTAAGCCATTATATTGCATTTTTACTTTTGATTTGCAAGCACTACTCTATAAAAAGAAAGTTTCCTTCTTCAACTTGTTGCACAAGCCCAGGGCTGTTTTCTCAAAGTTTGCAGGAGTAAAGCCTAGGAAACATGAGTGAAACATCAGGTAAGTACAGGCAGAAAGTACTCTTGCAGTTTGGAGTCTGTTTGTAGCAACAGAAGTAAGCTGAAAAAGTGGGGGAAATGGGAGGTAACAGTTATATCTGACAGTGTATACACCAGGTAATGGTGGGTATACACTAGTTAAAATATTAAAAAGTTACGTTAAAATATGTACAAGCAGTCCCTCAGTTAAAAATATCCAACTTACAAACAACCCATAGTTTGAAAAGGGGTAAGACAACAGAAAGTGAGAGAAATCTACCCCGCAGGAAGGGAGTACAGTCCTGAAAGAGTTATCAAGGGGGAAACATGTCTCCACTAAAGCTTTCTCACCAATCTTATATACAAATTCAACTTTAAAACAAACCTACAGAACATATATTATACGTAACTTGGGGACCCTCTGTATTATGTTTAATCCACAAAGGCTCCTACACAGCTTGATGGATCTGGACCAAACTTGGTGCACATACCCATCACGATCCAACTTAAAATACTGGTGTTTGGATGGGGGGACAGGGCAGAGAGAGGATGGTAGGAGTTGTAGTCCAGCCACATCATGTGAATCCCACCCATCAAACTTGAAACGCATGTCCTTAATGATAAAAAAATAAAATAGTGGTGGTGTTTGGAGGGCTTATAGAGGATGATGGGAGTTGGAGTCCAGCTGTATCCAGAGAGCTGTGTGATTCCCAACCAAGACAAAGGCTCAGCTCTCCTCCTAACTTGTCAGACAGCTCAGCCTATATGCCAGGCTGCATTCTTATCCTTTTGCTAAGCAGACTGCGAATGATGGGAGTTGCAGCCCAACAAGAAGGCTGGGCCATCTGTCCAGTTAGGAGGAGAGCCATGAATTGCAACCCAAATAGATCTGGGACAAATATGGAACTGATAGGCGTTTCAGGCACCCAGATTTGGAGATAATGGGAGTGGCAGCCTGATCAGATCAGCTGTAGGATTTTATAAAATATCCCATTATATGGGTATGCTTTTTCTGATGGGACCATTCATAAAACTGAAATGCAAACAACTAGTATTTCACATAAATAGCATTACAAAATGCCTGTCTTGGGCAATTCCAAGTATGTTGTTGTTGTTCATTTGTTCCCGACTCTTCATGACCTCATGGACCAGCCCACGCCAGAGCTCCCTGTTGGCCGTCACCACCCCCAGCTCCTTCAAGGTCAATCCAGTCACTTCAAGGATTGAAGGATTTTATATAATAAAAGGGAGCAGAATATTGAGCTCCTGGGCTCCCAGCCTCTGCCTCATCATGTCAAGCACTGACTGCAGATCTGTGGGCCATTCCACACAGCCCTATATCCCAGAATATCAAGACTTAAAATCCCACATTGAGTCCACACTCAGATAATGTGGGATTTGAGTTCCAAGCAGATATTGTGGGATTTTCTGCCTTGATATTCTGGCATATAGGGCTGTGTAGAAGGGCCCTGTGTCTCTCAATGTAGAAAATGCAACACTATCACAAATACAACAATCCAGGTGAATAGCATGAGCCAGTGCGGTCATCTCCAGTCTGATCTCCTCTACAATGCAGTTCCCAGCATTTTCAGCAATAAGGCCAATGGCAAAGAATGAAAGGAAATGAGTATATAGTTTGAGGGAATTGAGTATATAGTTTGAAAAGACTGATCTGAAGGAAGGAAGGGAAATGAGTCCACCTCTTCATGGAGTGGAAGCACACAAATTATGTATAATCCTGCCAGTGCAATAGCAGTGCCCTAATTGTACAACCAATTTAGGAAAATTAGCTAAAATATGCAGCATGTTAGCTAGATAATCTATGCCAGAAGTCTGTTGATTAGGATTGTCAACCTTTCAGCATGAGGACTTTTCAACATTGACATGGCCAGAACCAGAAAACAGGAAACTTTTAACTAAAAGCACAACTGACTAATAAGTTTTAATATTGTTCTACTGTCCACACTTAAGCTTTGTGAACTATAACATTAAATTAATAAGTAATGAAAGGAAGTTGGATAAATACTCATTTGTCATTTGCAGTGACTCCTTTGGAGGCCATTAAAATTGATTTCCTCAGAGAACACAATACCTATTTCCATCATACCAATGACTTCGACAACACTAATCTTATTGTGAGACGAGGACAGGAGTTTCAGATGGAGGTGACTTTCGGAAGGGAGCTGAATGACAATGATAAAGTCATACTACAACTCAGCATAGGTAAGTATATCTTTACTTACTTAGGTGAGCCCTTGTTGTTCGAGTATGATGGCATTCCAAGTGTAGTGTCTTGGCAGTGGATACATAGGTGACTGTGGAGCCCTATACTTGATCCGCATGTTCTTCTGCAGTGAGGACACCGGTTTCCAGGTGGACGGTGGTCCAGTCAAGGTTGCCTTGATGTGCCTTCCTCTTGGCATGTTTCTCCCTTTAGCCCTCAATCCATGCTTCTTCAAATTTTGCAGCACTGCTAGACACAGCTGACCTCCAGTTAGAGTGCTCAAGGGCCAGGGCTGCACAGTTCTTGGTGTCTATGCCACAGTTTTTAAGGTTGGCCTTAAGCCCATATTTCAATCTCTTTTCCTGTCCACCAACATTCTGTTTTCCATTCTTGAGTTGGGAGTAGAGTAACTGCTTTGGGAGATGGTGATTGGGCATTTGGACAACATGGCATAGGGGCATTCGGATGATAGCATAGGGGCATCGCTTCAATGCTGATAGTCTTTGCTTCTTCCAGTATGTTGATATTTGTCCGTCTGTCTTCGCAAGAGATTTGCAGGATTTTTTGGAGGCAGGTATCATTATTTTGGCCATAAAAATATATTAAGGGGTATGTTTTTCATTACATTCCTAGTCTGCAAACAGAAAAAGTAAAGCTCTTTCCTCAGAAGTTTTTGTACACATGCAAGCAAATTTGCAGAGATTTACCTTCTTGAAAAAAATATTCCAATTCAAAGCAAGTTAAATAGATCTTGCTTTAATAAACTGGATACTGCAAGGAGAAAAGAGAAGTAGGGGCACAAACCTGCATAGTTCACTGATATACCTTCTTCTCTTGGGTAATGTATATGGATTTCATGGTTTCTCCTACGCAGGAAGTGAGCAGTTGCTCGACTTTATTAATAGAATATTGGGAAATCTCAAATTTCTACGCAAAAGTGGAAAAGATACAAACTACAGTCGCTCACGTCAAACAGATATGCATACTATTTCTTTAATTTTATAAATTGTATTAGGGGCAACCTAACATAGGTTAATCAATTAAATAACAAACAAACACACCCAATGCCAAAAAACGAATTCACAATAATTTACAAGTATAATGCTGGTCTTCATGGCATTATGGCAAGAACTTTCTTAGCTTCATAGAAGGCTGCTGCAAAATCTGTTAGACAAGTAGTAAGATAAATATGACTACATGCAAATGTTATAAATGCACCAATATTCATAGATCTTATATATAACAAAAATTAAAGTACAACTTTTGGCAAAATCTACAACAACATTTTATCATAGTCCAAAAGCCCTTACAACAGGTGACTGATTTAATAAACAGTTGGATGAAAATCTACTACTCCTAAAGTGGAAAGTTTGTTTAATTTTAAATATTAAGAGCTTTATTATAGTCTGGAATGGGGTGGGCAGTTGATGTTGAGAAGTGAAGCTGAATCAATCAGAAGAAATAGTGTATCTGAGTTAATGGGTATAATGTCCTAGTTACGAACATTTCCCTATAATTTTCTTAAAGCAACAATACACATCGTAGCTGTTGCCCTCATCTACCAATCTACCTCCATTGGTTAAAAATGTAAATGTCTTTCCTTACTTTAGAATTGCCGATATACACACAAACTATTTATAATACTTACTAAAAGTTTTATATTCATCCAATCATAGCTTATTATGTTAGTAGGAGAGATATTCTGATCAATATAAATTTGCTGTTTAGACTGGAATATTTTGCCAGACTGGGTTTGGAAAATAAGACCCACCCTTAGCTTGGTCCATTGCTGCAGAATGAACAGTAAAGAGCTGATAGGATGACTTACTTTTGTGGTTGTCATTGTTATGAATATCTCAATTGGGCTACATTGGTAGTTCAGTACTATTCTCAGAACATAGCATAGTAGTAACTCCTTCATTACCTCCAGGTCCCTATCTTATGGAATACAAGATTTGCAATTGAGAGAAGAGCATTTTGAATACTCAGCCATAGCTCACCATACTACAAATTCCCAAATTAAATGCCCTGGTACTTAAAGAAGAATCAAAATGCTGTAATAGTGTTGTGTAAAAGACCCTTATATTGGTGGTCCCTTTTATCAGCCCACTTTCTAGGAAAATTTTGGGATGAAACTAACTTACCTGACTCTTTGGGAAAGCAACATGTACTATGAATTATTTTTATATATATATATATATATATATATATATATATATATATATATATCTTTACCATATCTGAAAATTCAATATTTTAAAGTTGCCATTGTTAGCCGCTCTGAGTCCCCCTGCGGGGGTGAGAAGAGCAGGGTAAAAATGTTGCAAATAAATAAATAAAGTTTTGCTTTTCCAATACACCACTCATTGTAATTATAGAGGAAATAGGAATTTGTTTGCAATTTTATTTTACTGGAAACTACAAGTGTCGGTATCTTCTTCATGTAAAGGTATTGCAGGGTTTTTTTGCCAATGTGCCAGTATCTGGCACCCATTGACTAGGGCCCCTTCTACACTGCTATATTAAATATAGATTGTTTTCTTTGAACTGGATTATATGGCAGTGTTCTGAAACGGCTGTTCCAGGGGCTCCAATTTTGTGTTTTGCACTGAGTGTTTTTTCATAGTCCTAAGTTTCAGGGACTTTGCAGATAGGTGGCTTCCTTTGGCTGCATTCATAGGGCAAGCCACCTGTCAATAATAGTTAGGATCCCTGGTCCCACCCCTCTCTGGGTTTTTTTGGAGGGAAGGGGCCATTTTTCAGTTAGTCTCAGCAAAGGATGTCTATGCAGAGGATGTATACAGACATCCTCCTGTACAAAGGCTTCGTCCCTTAAGACTTCCCGGGGGAGAACAGTCTTAAGAGCCTCTATAGATTCCCAAAGGTTCCAGGGAAACAGTCTTACAGCCCTGAGGAATTCCGGAGGGAATTACAGCTCTAATCATCAAGATCTCCAGCTAAGTGACTACAGGCCTGCTGGTACATCTGCTTGGTTCTGAGACGCAGTTCAGCCAGTAGTGGATTCAAATCAGTCAGGTTTAGGTTCACAGTAGCCTGGGAGGAGCTAGAAAGGGGAATTTTCCTTTGAACAAAGTTATTGAAGATAGTGCCTGTTCCCTGTGAACAAGTTTGAGAGAACTGGTTTTTTACCAAGAAAGCTTTACAATTCCTGTTTGTTCATCAATAAAAGACTGTTATATTTAAGTTCAAGCCTCCTAAAGACTGTTTAATGAGGGAAATTTCTCTAAAGGCTCCTTTTCGGGGGCCCTGGCTTCCCGCTGGATTCAAGCCACACATCCTCTCTTAAAAGCACTTCATTTCAGGTCCAGCGGCGACAGAACAGGCAGTGTAGACTCATATAATCCAGTTCAAAGCAGATAATGTGGATTGTCTGATTTGATTATCTGGATTATATAGCAGCGTAGAAGGGGCTTCGGATTGTTTCATTCTCTCCTGGAAACACACTCTGAGCTGCCAGTCAATATCTTCCAAAGTCTCCCAAAGATACAGTGGTGACACCACTTTGAGTAGCACTGTATTAGCACAATATCTTCCAAAGTCTCCCAAAGATAAAGTGGTGATACCACTTTGAGTAGCACTGTATTAGAATAGCCATCAAAGTTGTGGACTGAAAAGATAGTCTGCTGCTCTGTTATTTCTATTACAGTCTTCATGAATTTGTTAATACTACTCTTCATGAACTTGTATTCTTCCAGGTGAGAATCCAAAGCGATACAATGGGACCATTTTATATCTGAATTTAACATCAAAGCAGAAGAAACAACCATGGCATGCTGAGATTTATGATACAGATGGACAGAAGGTATAGAAGTTTGGATCACTTTATATGCAGATATCCAATTAGAGCATGTGTTTTATATTTTTTGTGACCGTTGCACAAAAATGCATTCAACTGCTCAACATGGCTGTCATTTCATGGTAAGATCCTGAATTACGACAGAGACTTCCCTTAATAAAGTCCACTGTCAAGAGATACAAGAGTTCTACAACTTGTAACCCCAGTGCTGCCTGATCATTCGTGTCAGCCAGCACAGAAAATGATATGATGATCTGGAGAATGTGTTGTGCAAGTCGCATATTCCATACTATTTTATTTATTTATTTACAACATTTCTACTCCGCCCTTCTCAACCCCCGAGGGGGGACTCAGAGCGGCTAACACTGGCAACAATTCAATGCCGCACATATCACAGTATAACAACAATATAAAACCATAAATATACAATAAATTAAAAACAATAACATTAGTTATACAGACACATAGCCGTTTCCATTATTATAACAATCATATGGTCCAGTTCATTGGGTTATGTTGTTACTACAGACAGTTACAAATATCTGACTTAAAAACAACTCATAGTTAAGAATGGGAGTGAGACAACAGGAAGTGAGACAAATCTACCCCTAGGATTGGAAATTCACTCCTGGAAGAGTCATTGTCATGGGGGAAAAGGTGTTTCCACAGAAGCTTTCTCACCAATCCTTGTTTCCATAACAAGCCAAAATTTTCAAAATCCAATTATCACAAGTACATAAAATTAATCACACATATTCATTTATTCTTATTTTCAGGGTTTCCTAAATTCTATACTTTCCAAGATTTCTCTGCTTAAAATAATTGTATGTGTTCTATAACTTTTGCCCTTGAAAACACTCATAGCCTCTTGTTGCCTTATCATGGTCTTCTGATCACATTCTGCTGAACCTCAGCTATGTTCCTTTTCTCAGCCATATTGTTTTGATGTTGTTTACAATTGTGATTGTTTTTATAGTTTATCTGATGTTTTTAATTGTTTGTGTTTTATTTGTAACTTTTTGGGCTTGTCCCTTGTAAGCCGCCCCAGACTGATGTCCTGCCTCAATCAGTGACCAATATTTGTTATGTATTGTCGAAGGCTTTCATGGCTGGAATCACTAGGTTCTTGTGGGTTTTTTCGGGCTATAGAGCCATGTTCTAGAGGCATTTCTCCTGACTCTCCCCCACATACGACCTAGCAAAATTTCTTGCTGCACAGTTACAAAGCCATATTGGGCTCACTACACACTACATCAAGGACTCAGCCCACTTCATAGAAAAAATCAGCAATCTCAAGCTAAATACAAACGACAAACTGATCAGCTTCGATGTGGTATCTCTATTTACCATGGTCCCGGTAGCAGACACCATGGCACTCATCAACCAGAGGTTCCCAGAAGACATCACGGCTCTGTTTCACCATTGCCTCACCACCAGTTACTTTCAGTGGGACAATGAATTCTACGAACAGAAAGATGGAGTAGCTATGGGGAGCCCTCTCAGCCCGGTCATAGCTAACTTCTACATGGAACACTTTGAAAAACAAGCCCTGGAGACAGCAACCAAAAAGCCCACGATATGGTTCAGATATGTGGATGACACCTTCACCATTTGGAGCCATGGAGAAGAAGAACTCAACAGGTTCCTGGAGCATCTTAACAGCATCCACCCAAACATCCAGTTCACCATGGAAAAAGAAAATGAAGGAAGACTGCCTTTTCTAGATGTCCTAGTCATCCGCAAACCAGATCAACAATTGGGTCACACCGTCTACAGAAAACCCACACACACAGATAGATATCTACATAAAAACTCCAACCAGCACCCAAGTCAAAAAAGAAGCACCATTAAAGCCTTGGCAGACCGTGCAAAAAGAATCTGCGAACCCCACCTCCTCCAAGATGAACTGAACCACCTCAACTGGGCTCTCCAGGCCAATGGATACTCCACCTCAGACATCAGAAGAGCTGCAAGACCAAGAACAAGCCACGAGAGTAAAGATGAAGATCCACCCAGAGGAAAAGTGTTCCTGCCATACATCAAGGGAACCACTGACCGCATAGGGAAGCTGATGAGGAAACACAACATACAAACAATCTACAAACCCACCAAGAAAATCAAACAAATGCTACGTTCAGCAAAGGACAAGAGGGATCCTCTCACCTCTGCAGGAGTCTACCGTATACCATGCAGCTGTGGACAAGTCTACATAGGGACCACCAAACGCAGCGCCCGGACACGCATCAAGGAACATGAAAGGCACTGCAGACTACTTCAACCAGAGAAGTCAGCCATAGCAGAGCACCTGATGAACCAGCCTGGACACAGAATATTATTTGAGAACACAGAAATGCTGGACCACACCAACAACCACCATGTCAGACTACACAGAGAAGCCATTGAAATCCACAAGCATGTGGACAATTTCAACAGAAAGGAAGAGACCATGAAAATGAACAAAATCTGGCTACCAGTATTAAAAAACTCTAAAATTACAACAGCAAAACAACAGGGAGGAAACAACCAGGCACAGATTAACACCTCCCAGCAAGAGATTTTCCCAGGCTCAGGCAGGCCTTCAAATGCTAATGAAGGTGATCAGCTAAACATTCACACCTAACTGCAGCAGGGAAGAGCTCCTTGCCCCACCCCAGCCATTCCACAGATATATAAACCCATTGTCCAACAGACCTCACTACCTCTGAGGATGCTTGCCATAGATGCAGGCGAACGTCAGGAGAAATGCCTCTAGAACATGGCTCTATAGCCCGAAAAAACCCACAAGAACCTAAAGCTGTTGTTATTTATTTATTTACTAGCCGTCCCCTGCCACGCATTGCTGTGGCCCACTCTGGTGGTCATGGGGGTTCTGTGTGGGAGGTTTGGCCCAGTTCTATGGTTGGTGGGGTTCAGAATGCTCTGTGATTGTAGGTGAACTATAAATCCCAGCAACTACAACTCCCAAATGTCAAGATTCTATTTTCTCCAAACTCCACCAGTGTTCACATTTGGGCATATTGAGTATTCTTCTGGAGCTTGGTCCAGATCCATCATTGTTTGAGTCCACAGTGATTTCTTGATATAGGTGAACTACAACTCCAAAAGCAAAGGACACTGCCCACCAAACCCTTTCAGTATTTTCTGTTGGTCATGGGAGTTCTTCATGCCAAGTTTGGTTCAATTACATCATTGGTGGGGTTCAGAATGTTCTTTGATTGTAGGTGAACTATAAATCCCAGCAACTATAACTCCCAAATGACAAAATCAAAAAAAAAATTGAGTGAAGGACATACATTGGGTTGTTAGGTGTTTTGTGTCCAAATTTGGTGTCAATTCGTCCAGTGGTTTTTGAGTTCTATTAATCCCACAAATGAACATTACATTTTTATTTATATAGATTTATTTATTTCCTGTTTCTTTTCTGTGAGTACAATGAACATTTCTAATATAAAGGTTGCTAGTGAGAGCAATGGAACATCTGGTTCATTCACTCCTTAAAATGCAGCTGCAATTACGTGAAGCAGCAGGATACCTAAATATGATATCTCCTCCTATTATAACTTTATGATTGCCTTGTGTTTTTCTAGTGCTTTATTGCTGTGACAAGTCCGCCAGATGCAATTGTCGGGAAATACAGCCTGGATGTGATAACGGAGTCTAACCTCCGTAACTTCAGAGATGTGGTTTTTTATGTGTTGTTCAACCCATGGTGTGAAGGTAATTAATGTGATCTAAAGAGCATTAAATGGTAACATTGCTACATTAGAAACAGATCATTAAGCAGTTTCCCCCTAAATACAGCAAGATTTGAGCATCCAATAAGACGATAAAAAGAGAAAATAAGGTTATTGAGTTATGTTGTTATTCACAATATAATCATAATATCACAGTAGTCTTTAAGCATTAGTCAGGGAATGATTAAACAGGCAGTTGCTTTCTGAGAACAAAGCCTCCCTGAAATGTAACTCTGCCAATATTTCCAGGAATAGATCCAGGTCACAGAATATTGAGAAAAGAAGAAAGAACTTATTGAGATCCATAATCTATTGCAAATAAGATAAGCGATCATTATTATATTGTCTGCCTAAATTTCCAGCTGTTTTCTGTCTAGGCAGTCTTGACAAAAATTAACATTCTCATGTGTGTGTTTTAGCGGATTCTGTTTTCATGCCTGATGAGGAACAGAAAGCTGAATATGTCCTCAATGATACTGGATATCTGTATGGTGGATCAGCAACACATATATTAGAAAGACCTTGGAATTTTGGTCAGGTAAAAGACCACATATTACATTCTTACTTTTTAACTCTTGGGTATAATCATATAATAATAATAATAATAATAATAATAATAATAATAATAATAATAATAAAGCTTTATTTTTATCCTGCTACCAATCCCTGAAGAGACTCAGAGCAGCTCACAGAAAGCACTCAATAGTGCAGCAAAATACAAATACAACAAGATACAAAAAAGTTTTAAAAAATTAATAACAATAAAATTGACCCAATTATATCTAAAACAGCAATAAAACTTAATACTACAAAAACCAGCAAGCTACAAAAATAGTGGCAGTATACAATAGAAGTCCCCATTAACTGTTGAAGTGAAGTGATCAAATATAGTGATTAAGGCCATATTTATTTATTTAAAACATTTATATTCCACCCTTCTCACCCCGCAGGGGACTCAGGGTGGAGCACAACATATATACGGCAAACACTCAATGCCGGGACATAAAACCATAAATATATACAAACATTAAAATCACTTATATCCACATTAAAAGTTACTTAAAAACCATCCCTAAACATGATTAAAGGCTTGTTTAAAAAGCCATATTCTTAGCCGTTTCTGGAAAACTTGGAGAGTGGGGGCTACCCTAATCTCTTTAAGCCGGGGAGCCACCACTGAGGAGGCCCTCTCCCTCACTCCCACTAACCGCATTTGAGACAGAGGTGGGATCGAGTCGAGAGCCTCCCCAGCAGATCTTAGGCCCATGCTGGTTTCCTATTAGAAACAAAGAAGTAATGTAGTTATGTATTGAAGTTGTGTCTGGCAAAGCCTCTGTAGGTGCACTTTTAATCAGAACCCTAAGCACACAAATAAGTCTCTATTGGAAGGTGATGTAAAATTGCTCCCATCACTGCTAACCAAAAACGTTGTGTACTTACCCCATTTTCAATCCATAAAACATTTTTGTGGGAAGAAAAAAAGATGAAAAAAGCAATGGGGAAGGACAAAAGGGTTACAAGTAGAAGACAATAATGTCTGGATCCTTCATGAAAATCCAAGAGTAAGTTGGGACAATTGCTAACTAAAAGCCTAATTTACATTCTACATCTAGTGCATCTAGAATTGAAATAAAGTAAAAATGAAGAAAATAGCACTCCCTCATGGAGTATTTCAAACTCAGCAACTGCATTTAAGTAATAAATATGTATTTTCCAGTAATAAACAACTTAGGAATGTCCATACTTGGCTTTCAAACAGTTTGAAGAAGATATCTTGGATTGCTGCATGCATCTTCTGGACCTGAGCCTGCTTGGGCCACATGGTCAGAGAAATCCTATTCATGTTGCCAGGGCCATGTCAGCTTTGGTATGTCCTTACGCATTATACTCTGTTTTTTATAAAATAACAGAAAAAGATGACATCTTGCCACGGTTGGGTTCAGGCATTTGGAGCAATTACAAATAATGTATGCTGTATTATATTTGCTATCTAGAGAAGAGAGCCTAGAACACAAATAACTGTGTGAATATATTTTATACCATAAATTGTAGGTCATAACTATTTAGGTAATTCTTGAGCTGCATTTTGAAATTCTGTATGCTGCTCAAATTATGTGCGGTACACTCATATGTTATGGATGGAACGAGGAAATCTATAAATGTTGAACCAAGTGAAATGTTGGTTAGCCATTGCAAGCATACAGTTGATCATAAATGTTTTACAATACTGGGATTTTATGACTTAAAATTATATTATATTTCCCCAAACTTGGACAATTAAAAAATATATTGGAGGCGGCAAACTTGGTGTGATGTTTGCTTCAGTGGTTGAAAGCAACAATCTAATAACTAGATAGGTCTCGGAAACTTTACTGTGCTTCGTGGTTTTGTTTTCTTTCTTATCCTACTCCCATTTGTTAGGTTAACTATGATGAGAATGAGGATGATGATGGAGTGATCCTTGGAAACTGGTCAGGATACTATGAAGATGGTACCTCTCCTGAGGACTGGACAGGAAGTATCCCAATTTTACAACACTATTACAGAAATAAAGAACCCGTACTTTATGGCCAATGCTGGGTTTTCTCTGGTGTGCTTACTACAAGTAAGACGTCTACTTTCATAATTATCCCAATCTTCTCTGAATATATCACTATGGAACTTTCAGTGGCAGGGTCTGTAAATCTTAGAAAATCAACTATTTGGAAAAGTTACTTTTAGGTGACAAGTCTCAGAATTTCCTTGGCCAACAGTCAAGGGACACACTAACCAAAAATTGGCATTATATTCCAAAAGTAACTTTTTAAGCTCTTCTCTAACATGTCTAGAGTAAAGACAGTGAGTGTCATTAAGCAGTAGGGGTGTGCAAATATTGGTTTTTAAATCGTAGGTTGTATCTAATTCCTAAGTTTTGTATATACAAACAGTTATTAAGAAACACAAAAGAGGGAGAGGCACCCACACAAAAACTTAGATCAAACTCACCCAATACTTTTTCATTTGCATTCTGTAATGCTTGGAAGTCAGTTTCATTGTCAGTGCAAGCAAGGAAAAGCCAAAAATGCTACCATTCCTCTTTCAATTAAGAACAGATATTTATTTATTTATTTATTTATTTATTTATTTATTTACCACATTTGTATACCGCCTTTCTCACCCAGAGGTGACTCATGTTTCTCGCCATGAAGAGAGGAAAGCAGCAGGGCAGGACGCGCTGAGTAAGCTGGGAAAGAGACTGAGAGAGCACAGAATTCTGGGAAATGTAATTTGGGAACGTGAGGAGCCCTATGGCAGAGAATTCAAAAGACTCTGGCCTAAACTACATTTCCCAGAATTCTGCTCAGCATCAGAGAGCACTAATTAGGATAGGGAAGAGATTTATCCCTCCTTCCTAACTGCAGCCAGAGTTCTGTTGAATCTGCAAAGAGGAGGGCTGGCTGGTACTTCAATACTAGTAAGTAAAGCTGTGCTGTACTGGCAAGAAATCCCTAAATTTCAGTTCTATTGGTTAAAGACATTTTTTTTAAATGTGACTTTTTTTTAAAAAAAGTTTTGTCAGACTTTTTAAAAATTCCAAAAACCAGTAGATGTATGAATATTTCTGAAACTTGGGGGGAATGATCCCCTGTTATCGTGTGTCATTGTATAGAAAATTCAAGAAGATAGCTCTTTTAGTTTTTTAAAGAAATGTTGTTTGCAAAAACTTTGGAAATTCCCCAAAAATTTGTGGATGAGTGAAACATTCTGAAACTTGATGAGCTAATAGTGGTACATGTGTTCTATAATTGTATCAAGTTTAATGCCAATAGCTGTAACAATAAGGGAGAAAGGGGCTCCTGAAGCTTCCCCATTGGCATAATTACTTAACTACTTTTTCGCTACTTTTCGTTAACCTGTTATAGTTACAATACAGACCTCGCCAAATTTCAGAATGACTTTAGAAACTATTTCTTGCCACCCTCTAATTTTGTAAAGAACTTTGAACCATTTTTTCATTGATTGCACAGGCCTATTAAGCAAAGTGTAGCAACTGAGCAATAATATCCTTCTCTACATTCCAGTTATGCGCTGCCTGGGGATTCCAGCCAGAAGTGTGACCATCTATGAATGTGCTCATGATCACCACAGAAATATAAACGTTGATGAAATCTACAATGAAATGGGAGAAAAAATGAACATATCAGACTTTACTTGGTATTTGCTACAATTTATTAATGAATCTGCTGGTATAGTGATGGTTGGTAGATGGGGCTGAGCAAACAAGATACATTTGGTGATCTCTTAAGTATGATATTTTCATCCACTACTTCATCCATACTGAATTGATTTTGTTTATTTAAAATATTTCATATTGTCTCCCAGCCCACAAGGGCTCCAAGGTCTACTGGTTTTTAACAATTTAATTTTAAAGTGGTTACAAGTCATTTTCATGTTTGTGTATATTTATAGTTTGTTTTTATTCTGTCATTAAATGTTTGCCGTATTTATGTTGTGTTTCACCCTGAGTGCCCTTCCGGGTGAGAAGGGCAGAATATAAATGCTTTAAATAAATAAATACGAATATAGTTCAATTTTTATGAAATTAGAACATTATTTTTCTTCAGTCATTACTGCTTTGTGTGCTTCTACCCTTGTACCAGTGTAGCAACATAAGAATAAGAGCAATCAATTAGGGCTGGGTAACCACGGAAAAATTTGTTTCTAACTCGATTCGTTTTTAGGGGTTTTTGCGTTTCGTTTTTTAAAAGAATTCTGAAATTTTTCTTTAAAAAAGTTCGAAATATACAAAATTTCATAAAATTACGAAACAATTACGAAACAATTACGAATCGATTCGTTAATGGCGGACACGATAGCGCAATATGCTAAAAAACTCTCCAAATGGGACAGGGGGAACTTCTGAAGCTTCCCTCTCCCTCTGTTGTTGACTGTTGGTGTGATAATTTATTTTTTATCACTGATAAAACAAACAACAACCCTAAAACTTGCACCAGACATACGGAAACAATTACGAAACAATTACGAAACAATTACGAAATAAATTGAAAATTTTGTTTCGATTTTTAATTACTCCTGCATGGCTCAATATCAGATCGTAAGCTAATTTAAATACGAATTAATAACGAATTACGAAATTAACTAACGAAACCGCCCAACCCTACAATCAATGTAATGATTAAGAAAAACACTCTCACAGATTAGCATACCCAACCTCTTCATTGACACTTGATTAATGTTTCAGTTGTTGGACTACAGTTCCCATTATCCCTAGCCAGCAGTGTCATTGGCTATACCAGAATTCTAGCACAACACACCTGAGACTGAATTCTAGCACAACACTCAATTATAGAGCTTTGATGCCACTCTAATGCCCATAACGCAATCCTGGTATCTGAAATTCAGCACATGGTATTTAAAATTCTCTGTCAGAGAGTTCTTGTGTCTCACCAAAACATTAAAATATTGGTTTGTAACTGCTCATAGGAACTACCATGTATGGAATGATATTTGGATGAAAAGACCAGACTTACCAGAGGGCTATGATGGTTGGCAGGTGATTGATGGCACACCCCAGTATGTCATGAAAGGTAAGACTTCATTGTAGACATAAAGGCAAATTAGAAAAGTAAAAGTCAATTTTGGCTAATCTGTAACAGTGAAATGCTACTCAACTGTTCTCATTTTTTTGGCAGGTACAAAATAAAGTTAGTACTCTGAATAGAATATGCATGATCCATGGAGCTGGAAATGTTGTCTCCAGATCCGTATTTGGCCTGTTTCCTCCAACTACAAAGGATAGTTGGGTGCCTGACATATCTGCATCCCTGGATTTTCCTTATGGTTTCAGAGCCTCTGGTCCTTCCCTTTCCTATGACTCTTTTGCATTTCCACCATCCACGTTCTTTCTGATCTCTTACCTTCCTCTTCACTACTGCTCTTCTTTTAATCTCTAATTTTAACAATCAATCCAGGTGAAACTACTGAATTATTCAACAATGCCTATGTCGCAATATGGAATCTGAGATAACTCACAAGATAAGTTAAAGCAAAACGTAATTAAAACAGGTAACACAGAAGATTAAAACTAAATAAATGATCATATTGGAACCTTACATTTTAAAGAGTTGAAGCACCATAACAATGGTAAAAAATACATCATATCCTGTTAAAAGCTATTCTGCCGGTTGATAGCCAAAAGTCAGAACAAGCAGAAATGTCTTTGTCTGCCATCAGAAAAAGCACCAAGGGGTTAACCTTTGTTGAAGAGACTTCTACAGGGAAGCGTGGAGGCAAATGTTTCACACAAAACTATAGCAAAGTAAAATATTATATTTTACTCATTTTCCCCCAAACTATTTGTAAACATTTGAGCTGTTCATGTTAACTTCCAACTTCTCCCTAGTCCTTAGGGGAAATGTTGTGTGTGCCATACACAACATCTGGCTATTTGTATATGCCGAGAAATGCCAAGGAAAAGCATTAATCCTTTATTTTTGACTATTATATGTACCTATACCAAATTAGCTGTGTGAATAGATCACTACTGCACTGGGACTGTGGCGCAGCTGGCTGGGAGTCAGCTGCATTAAGATCACTACTGACCAAAAGGTCATGAGTTCGAAGCCAGCCCGGGTCAGAGTGAGATTCCGACCAATTTGTGTAGCTTGCTGTCGACCTTTGCAGGGTGAAAGACAGTTGCATCTGTCAAGTAGGAAATTTAGGTACCGCTTATGAGGGGAGGCTAATTTCCGACACCACGAAAATCTCCAGCAAGCATGCAAAGAATGAGGAAGCACCTCATCAGTGTCACAAATGGACGGTGAAGTGACAGCTCCCCTGGTGGCCAGAATACCCTCATGAAAAAGCTGGAATGTTAAATAGCCCCTGTGTGTCTGTCTATATATGTTATGTGTCTATGGCACTGAATATTTGCCATGTATATGTACATTGTAATCCGCTCTGAGTCCCCAGCGGGGTGAGAAAGGTGGAATATAAATACTGTAAGTAAATAAATAAATAATACTGAATTACATTAGCTTGAGTACATGTTGCCACTATAATAATTTTATTTCTTACCCGCCTCTCTTCACAGCTTGAGGCGAGTTACAACATTGCTAAAATAATCATTTAAAAACACTCTGTAGAATACACATATTAAAATAGGTAAAGGTAAAGGTTTCGCCCTGACATTAAGACCAGTCGTGTCCAAGTCTGGGGTGTAGTGCTCATCTCCATTTCCAAGCCGAAGAGCAGATGTTGTTTGTAGACACCTCCAAGGTCATGTGGCCGGCATGACTACATGGAGCACCATTACCTTCCCACCGGAGTGGTACCGATTGATCTCACATTTGCCTGTTTTTTAACTGCTAGGTTGGCAGAAGCTGGGGCTGACAGCGGAAGTTCATGTCACACCCCAGATTTGAACCTGCAACTGTCCGGTCAACAAGCTCAGCAGCTCAGAGGTTTAACCCACTGTGCCACTGGGGGTTCCCCATATTAAAATGTATCTCCATAATATACATATTAAAATACACAAAACAAAAAGTTAGACATAAAATGGACATAAAATGGAAGTTTAAAATCCATTATTAAAACTATTTTGGTACTATGTGACAGTTTTCTCAATAGTTGAATTTCTTTATACATTTTCTGCATTATAATACATACCACTTCATGAAATAGCAATTGTACTGAGTTCATAAACCTTTGATGGACATAATGAGAAACATTGTACAGCAGGCCTATTCTTAATACAAGCAGAAAAAGTCAATTAGCTTTCTTCGTGTATTTTAGATGGAGAGAGTCTGGAGTGCGGTCCTGCTCCGGTTATTGCCATCAAAAAGGGAGATGTCTATGTGCCGTACGACACGATGTTTGTGTTTTCTGAAGTGAATGCAGATATGGTCCTCTGGATCACAAGGAAAGTGAACGGGAAAGAGGAATTCATGCGGGTCTTTGAAGACACCAGGATGATCGGAAGGAACATCAGCACCAAAGCTGTTGGGAAGAATGAGCGTGAAGACATCACAGATCAGTACAAATTTCCAGAGGGTAATTCATACATGTATGGGTTTTTTCCTTGCCATATAGGACAAAAAAGACAAAAGTTTTGGTCATTATATTTTGGTATATAAACCAAGTGATCATGTGGAATCCCTCTTAGTTGGGAATTGTACATGTTCAAGCTATCTTTTTTATATATAACACATTGGGTTTGTTCCGAAATTAATCATAGTGGCCCTTTTAAGTAATTGTGATTAATTTAAATCCCATTGATAGCAATGGATCTACTCTTAAGTTTTGATAAATCTTATCTAACCCAATATATTGTTACATATTGCTTCGAGAGTCTCAGTTCTTGAAGAAGTTCTTACTTTATGAGAATAAGACATAGTTATTGATTACTTATTCCTAATGTTTTTTGACTGAGTTTCAATCATACTTCTCAGAGCAATCATTAAGAGCATAAAATAAAGCATTGGACTCAGCCCAGCAAGGCGTATTAGTTCTGTTACAAGCTGGGTAGATGCGGGAAATGCCGTGGATGTAGCGTACCTGGATTTCAGTAAGGCCTTCGACAAGGTCCCCCATGACCTTCTGGCAAGGAAACTAGTCCAATGTGGGCTAGGCAAAACTACGGTGAGGTGGATCTGTAATTGGTTAAATGGACGAACCCAGAGGCTGCTCACCAATGCTTCCTCTTCATCCTGGAAAGAAGTGACGAGCGGAGTGCCGCAGGGTTCCGTCCTGGGCCCGGTCCTGTTCAACATCTTTATTAATGACTTAGATGAAGGGTTAGAAGGCATGATCATCAAGTTTGCAGACGACACCAATTTGGGAGGGATAGCCAATACTCCAGAGGACAGGAGCAGGATTCAAAACGATCTTGACAGATTAGAGAGATGGGCCAAAACTAACAAAATGAAGTTCAACAGTGACAAATGCAAGATACTCCACTTTGGCAGGAAAAACGAAATGCAAAGATACAGAATGGGGGAGGCCTGGCTCGAGAGCAGTACGTGTGAAAAAGATCTTGGAGTCCTCGTGGACAACAAGTTAAACATGAGCCAACAATGTGATGTGGCAGCAAAAAAAGCCAATGGGATTTTGGCCTGCATCAATAGGAGCATAGTGTCTAGATCTAGGGAAGTAATGCTACCCCTCTATTCCGCTTTGGTTAGACCACACCGGGAATATTGTGTCCAATTCTGGGCACCACAATTCAAGAGAGATATTGACAAGCTGGAATGTGTCCAGAGGAGGGCGACTAAAATGATCAAGGGTCTGGAGAACAAGCCCTATGAGGAGCGGCTTAAGGAGCTGGGCATGTTTAGCCTGGAGAAGAGAAGGCTGAGAGGAGATATGATAGCCATGTATAAATATGTGAGAGGAAGCCACAGGGAGGAGGGAGCAAGCTTGTTTTCTGCTTCCTTGGAGACTAGGACACGGAACAATGGCTTCAAACTACAAGAGAGGAGATTCCATCTGAACATTAGGAAGAACTTCCTGACTGTGAGAGCCATTCAGCAGTGGAACTCTCTGCCCCGGAGTGTGGTGGAGGCTCCTTCTCTGGAAGCTTTTAAGCAGAGGCTGGATGGCCATCTGTCAGGGGTGATTTGAATGCAATATTCCTGCTTCTTGGCAGGGGGTTGGACTGGATGGCCCATGAGGTCTCTTCCAACTCTTTGATTCTATGATTCTATGATTCTATGTTTGTTTTAATTGGAAACCTTACTTGCCCCCAGATAGTGTCCCAGTGATAAGACTAAACCACTTCTTAAAAAAACAAGAGCGCTTGTTCTAAATGTGATGTCCTTATGTTTACATACTGTAGGCCCATTAGTCATCTTTTTTGCAGGAATGTAATATCCTTCAGAGCATTTTTTTTTAGTTCAGGTCAAACCACCTCTCCTCAGGACTTATATCTTCAGTTTTCTGACAGGCTTACCTTCAGTTTTCTGACAGTACTCAGTCTATCTTAGGTTTGCATAAATGTGATTTATTTATTTGTCATGTCAGGGCAACCAGTCTATTATATTACATTTCTAACAGAACAAAGCAAACAAACAGACAAAATACAAAATTTGTGAGTTTGGTAGTTGATTAAATGTCCTTTGACCAGTATCTGGTCACTTGGAGTGCTTCTGGTGTTGCTGCAAGAAGGTCCTCCATTGTGCATGTGGCAGGGCTCAGGTTGCATTGCAGCAGGTGGTCAGTGGTTTGCTCCTCTCCACACTCGCATGTCGAGGATTCCACTTTGTAGCCCCATTTCTTAAAGGTTGGCTCTGCATCTTGTGGTGCCAGAGCGCAGTCTGTTCAGCGCCTTCCAAGTCGCAGTCTTCTGTGTGCCCAGGGGGGAGTCTCTCATTTGGTATCAGCCATTGGTTGAGGTTCTGGGTTTGCGCCTGCCACTTTTGGACTCTCGCTTGCTGAGGTGTTCCAGCGAGTGTCTCTGTAGATCTAAGAAAACTATTTCTTGATTTAAGTCGTTGACGTGCTGGCTGATACCCAAACAGGGGATGAGCTGGAGATGTCTCTGCCTTGGTCCTTTATAAATGTGATGAAAATAAGAAAGAAACAAGTTCTTTGGTATGGTTTACTCACCCTATACTTCCTTTACTTACTTCACATAGGTACCAGATAACATTGCTGATCAATCAGGAGCTTGTGAAGCATGTTACATCCTGATATTTTTTTTAAAAAAACAAACTAATAATCCCCCAACCACACTTTCTAGGTCTAAACAAAAAGAGAGGAGAAGAGCCACTGCAATGTAATTGTGTCCCATATTCATCCCAGACCACTGACCCAAAAGCATGCTGTGATCTGTAGTATTAAGGCTGTCAATAGAATTGGGAGATGTTGCAGGGACCAACTTCTTACTCTTGCTTCAGCTATATTATACTCATAAGAGTCATCAAAGCTGTTTTGTGTCAAATCTCAAGCTGAAGTCAGAGTGAAATGGACATCATCTGAACATGCTACCAAGCACATCTGATTTATCCACAGTTGACCAACAGAATTAACTTCCAGTGATTTCAGGTTGTGTTCTGCTTGCTTCTTTCCCTAATTTTCCAGGTTCCCCAGAGGAGAGGAAAGCTATGAAAACTGCTTTGTCCCATGCAAGCTCTCTGGAAAACTATACAGCAGCATCTTTCCCTGAGTCTCCCAAAGCTGAGCTCACACTTGGGATAGAAGAGGAAAAGACATTGTTGCCAGGACAGCCTATTGATCTTAACATTGTTGTAAGGAACATGTCTGCAGATGCATGGACTGTCAATCTGTGTGTTTCCTGTCACCTGGAGTCATACACAGGGAAAGTACAGGCTAGGCTGAAATCCATTCAACAGATGGTCCAAACAGAGGGCAAACCAGGTGGGTCTACAGATCTCCATTAAATAATATCCCTGTCCTTTTACACTGATAAAGCTGTTCCTCTCTAGGAAAATGACTGCCTCTCCTTTCGTCCCAGTCAGGCTCCCTCTCTTAGGACCCCAGTGAGTTGTATCATAGATCAGAATAAAGTACCAAAATTATCCTTTGTACATAGAATCCTCCCAATCAATGCTCCGAACTATATAAATGCTACATACATAGCACTGTGCAGCCACTTTAACTGCCATGGTCCCATTCTCTGTAATGCTGAGGTCTAGAGATAAGGCTGAGGCCATAAAGTATGAATTATCTACCTAAAAGCAGTAGACCAGTGTTTCTCAACCTTCCTAATGCCACGACCCCTTAATACAGTTCCACATGTTGTGGTGACCCCCAGCCATAAAATTGTTTTAGTTGCTGCTTCATAACTGTAATTTTGCTATTTTTATGAATTGTAATGTAAATATCTGGTATGCAGGATGTATTTTCATTCACTGGACCAAATTTGGTACACATACCCAATACACCCAAATTTGAATACTATAATGGGGTTGGGAAGCGGGTTGATTTTGTCAGCTGTAGTTGCTGGGATTTGTGGTTCACCTGCAATCAAAGAGCATTCTGAACTCCACCAACAATGGAATTGAACCAAACGTGGCACACAGAACTCCCATGACCAACAGAAAATATTGGAAGGGTTTGGTGGGCATTGACCTTGAGTTTTGGAGTTGTAGTTCATCTATATCCAGAGAACATTGTGGACTCAAACAATAATGTATCTGGACCAAACTTGGCACAAATATTCAATATACCAAAATAGTCCTTGACATTTGGGAGTTGTAGTTGCTGGGTTTATAGTTCACCTACAAGTGAAAAGTATTCTGAACCCAATTAATGATAGAATTGGGCTAAACTTCCCACGCAGAACCCCCATGCATTGAAGGGACTCTCTGGCGAAAGCCTCCCTCCAGCCTCACAGACTCTCCCTCGCCTGCACATGTGTACCACACTGCCATGTACCAAGCTTGTCTGCTCTCCCCTTCTTGTATGGAGTCTCAGGAACAGCCCTCCCCCTGGCTGAGAGGCTGGCCAATCACAGCAAAGGAAGGCTTTTGGTGGGAGGATTTGCCGTCTGTTTCCAAAAAGGAGGAGACAGACAGATGGAGAGATGTTCAGCCTTCTCTGCCAAAAGGGTTCCTAAGATCATCAGAAATATATATTTTCTGAGGGTCTTTGGTGACCCGTCTGAAACCCTCTTGTGACCTCCCCAGGGGTCCCAACCCCCAGGTTGAGAAACACTGGTGTAGACCTAACCTACAAATCCTGGCATTCTAGAATGCAGTCATTGCAATTAAAGTCAAATTATTATTATTATTATTATTATTATTATTATTATTATTATTATTATTATCATCATCATCATCATCCCGTACCTGTCTCCCCGAGGGGACTCAGGGCAGTTTCCAACAAAAGAATGGTAAACATTCAATGCCGTAATAAACCAACAAGAAGTGCTTTAATTGTGTAATGTGATAGAACCCATAATGTTTTCCAATGTAAATGAAAGACATCAGAGAAGGGTGGAAGTATTACAAGAAGTATTACAAATTTTACTTTCATAGTATATCGGACAAAAGAATGGCATGTGAGATCGGGGCCTGCAATCTGCTCAACATCTTCATTTGTAAACAGCAGGCATCACCCTCAAAATTACCCATATACAAAGTGTTAAATTTGGCCTTTGTTATATGAATGATCCTTTCTCACCTTTTCTCTTCGTTGTATTCATGCAGTTATACAGACTCCTCTGACAGTAGATGCTGATAGGTACATGGACATAATGAGTTCAACAGAGGATGAACTTCTGTTCAAAGTCAATATTTTTGCAAATGTTGAAGACACTCATGAAAATCTTGGAAAACGGATAACCTTGACTTTCCAGTACCCACCCCTCAAGATAGAGGTAAGAAATTTCATGACAACTTCAATACTTAGATGGTGGTACATAGTTAAACCCAAAATGAGACACACCAATAAAAATAAGAGATATACACTAAAATGCATTGAGTGAGTGCAACAATGTATACTTAATGAATCAAATTTACGATCTCAACCATTATAGCCATAGAGCAGGGGTCCTCAAACTATGGCCCGAGGGCCAAATACGGCCCTCTAAGGTCATTTACCCGGCCCTCGCTCAGGGTCAACCTAAGTCTGGATCGACTTGATCGACTTGAAAGCACACAACAACAACAACAATTCTATCTCATCAGCCAAAAGCAGGCTCACACTTCCCATTGAAATACTAATAAGTTTATATTTGTTAAAATTGTTCTTCATTTTAATTATTGTATTGTCTTAGGTGTTTTTTGCACTACAAATAAGATATGTGCAGTGTGCATAGGAATTCATTCATGTATTTTTCAAATTATAATCCGGCCCTCCAACAGTTTGAGGGACTGTGACCTGGCCCTCTGTTTCAAAAGTTTGAGGACCCCTGCCATAGAGAATAAAGACAAGAATGATTACTGTATTTACTCAGTTCTAATGCTCATCTTTTTTTTTTACTAAATTACTGTCCCAAAATAAGGATGCACATTAGATTCATGTAATATGGTACCGTAAATACTTTTTTGGGTTTCAGGGTTTTGAAAATTGAGGTGTGCATTAGGTTCAGTGGTGCATTAGACATGGATAAATACTAGGGCTGGGCGGTTTCGTTTCGTAATTTCGCAATTCGTTAAAAATTCGTTATTTTTTTTATAACGAAGCGATATTGAACCATTCAGGAGCAACTAAAAAACGAAACGAATTTTTCCAATTCATTTCGTAATTGTTTCATTATTGATTCGTTATTGATTCGTTATTGATTCGTAAATGTTTCGTTATTATTTCTGCATGTCTGGTGCAAGTTTTAGGGTTGCTGTTTGTTTTCTCAGTGAAAAAAATATAATTATCACACCAACAGTCAACAACAGAGGGAGAGGGAAGCTTCTGAAGTTTTTTTAGCGTATTGCGCGATCGCGGCCGCCATTAACGAATCGATTCGTAATCGATTCGTAATTGTTTCGTAATTGTTTTATGATTTCCGAAATTTCGTAAATATCGAACTTTTTTTAAGGAAAATTTCGGAATTCTTTTAAATAACGAAATGCAAAAAACCCCTAAAAACGAATCGAGTTTAGAAACAAATTTTTCCGTGTTTGGACAGCCCTAATAAATACATTATTTGCTTTAATGGGATCACATTAAATAATTTGTAATAACCCACTTTTATCTGTTGTCGAAGGTTTTCATGGCCAGAATCACTGGGTTGCTGTGAGTTTTCCAGGTTGTATGGCCATGTTCCAGAAGCATTCACTCCAGACATTTTGCCCACATCTATGGCAGGCATCCTCAGACCTCACAACCTCTCAGGATGCCTGCCATAGATGTGGGCAAAGTGTCAGGAGATGCTTCTGGACCATGACCATACAGCCCGAAGAACTCACAGCAATCCACTTTTATCTGATTATAGACAGCTAGATACCATATATGCTGATACCAGAAATTATGCCAGGTTTAGGGGGACTCATAAAATCACTGCCTTTAAACAGGAAGATTACCATATTTTAATAACGATGCAATATTGAAAAATAACTTGTTTGCGTTTTTTTTAAAAAAAACAACATTTAATCTGAGGTCTTAAATTGTAGTTCAACAAGTTAGTGTGGGAATTTAGTATTTATTTTAGGACATGTACAATGTTTCAGGGTGATTAATGCTGATCAGTGAATGGAAACCACTTTTGAGAATCAAAGGCAAGGAATATTGTAGTATCTACTTGTGTGGTTGGTAGTTAAGATATTTCTGAACAGGTTGGGTGGGCATACATCCCCATGTGTGTACATCAGTAAACTTACAAGGACATAGCAAGGATTTGCCACTCTTTGGACACACAGTGCTGCAAATGCATTTAGAGAAAACAGGCAATCTCATTATGAAAGTTCCACCTAGATTTCACACAATTGCATTTGAGTGAAGAACACATCCGTTTTAGATTTCTAAAAATCTTTTGCGTTTTTGTTTTACAGATGCCAGAAACTGCAAAAGTGAATGAAAGCTTTACCTGTGAAGTGATTTTCGAAAACACTCTCTCCATTCCCTTGGAAAAATGCAAACTGTGCATTGAAGGCCTTGGCATTTTTCCAATGAGAACTTTTGACCAAGGGTAAGTTAATTGGCTTCAAGGGATCTGCCATATTCTGAATCATGTCGTGTCAGTCATATGTGGCAAAATCTATCTGGTAGAGATTTACTCATCCTACCTGAGACATGAAGAAACAGGACCTTGTGTCGAGTGTGAGAGTTATTCCATTTAGTCCTAGGTGACCTACAGTGAGTACCAACAGTTCATGAAGTCAGTGGAATCTTTCCCAACTCTGACACAAAATAACTATCTCACTCTAGAAAACCCCACATCCTCCAAGACGAACTGAACCACCTCAACTGGGCTCTACAGGTCAATGGATACTCCACCTCAGACATCAGAAGAGCTGCAAGACCGAGAACAAACCATGAGAGTCAAGACAAAGATCCACCCAGTGGGAAAGTGTTCTTGCCAAACATCAAGGGAACCACTGACCACATAGGGAAGCTGATGAGGAAACACAACATACAAACTATCTACAGACCCACCAAGAAAATCCAACAAATGCTATGTTCAGCAAAGGACAAGAGGGATCCTCTCACCTCTGCAGGAGTCTACCGGTACCATGCAGCTGTGGACAAGTCTACATAGGGACCACCAAACGCAGCATTGCCCAAACACGAATCAAGGAACATGAAAGGCACTGCAGACTACTTCAACCAGAGAAATCAGCCATAGCAGAGCACCTGATGAACCAACCTGGACACAGCATATTATTTGAGAACACAGAAATGCTGGACGACTCTCACAACCACCATGTCAGACTACACAGAGAAGCCACTGAAATCCACAAGCATGTGTACAATTTCAACAGAAAGGAGGAAACCATGAAAATGAACAAAATCTGGCTACCAGTATTTAAAAACTCTAAAATTAAAACAGCAAAACAGCAGAGGGAAAACAATCAGGGACATCTAATCACCTCTCAACAAAAGATTGCTCCAGGCACTGCCAGGCCATCAAATGCTAATCAAGGTGGTCAGTTGAAACATTCACACCTAGCTCCAGCAGACAAGAGTCCTTTGTCCCACCCTGGTCATTCCACAGATATATAAACCCTTTCCCTAGTTCCAACAGACCTCACTACCTCTGAGGATGCTTGCCATAGATGCAGGCGAAACGTCAGGAGAGAATGCCTCTAGAACATGGCCATATAGCCCGAAAAAATCTACAACAACCCACAGACATCATTAAGCTTCTGATGAAGACATTGAGAAAATGTGAGATACTGGTTGCTGAAACAAAGTGTTGACTTCTTCTATGATGGCTTCAGAAAACTTGTTCATTGTTGGCAGAAATGTATCCAATTATCTGGTCATTATGTGGAAAAGTGAATAGTGGTAGTTAAAGAGCACATTCTAAGGATTATTTCTGCATTTGATTTATTATAATATTCCCATCCAAACCCAAGTTACGAAGGTGGAGGCATTACTTTTCATTCAATCCTCATGCATTCGGGGTGAGAACCCCCACTCCCTCCCACCCCAGGACGTGTAGTTATAAAGCAAGCCTTCTTATTTGGGAGTTCTTTTATATGGATTTTGACAGAGGACTTTGCCTACATAAAATCTGGGACATTAAGAACTTATTATTGTAATATGAACTGGCAAACACATATTTTGGTACCTAAAATATTTCTGGGTATACTTGATCTGCTGATTCCAAAAATGGCACTACTTTCCCTTTATCGGCTTAAGTTTTTAATATCCAGAACATATTCCATCTATCAGTTGCTATCTGGTTGCCCATAGAAAATCATTATAACCATGTCTAAGAAACTAGAGCTGATGCAATCTATTCAATGCAATTTTCGGAATCCGCAACCCAAATAACTCCAAGAACAGGTCTAAAAACCAAGACCAAGAAAAAAAAAGTTGAACTGTATTACAATTCTATAATTATAGAACTATTTTTATAAATCTGAGCTTATAATTATACAGTTATAACTAGTACTATAATAATCTTTTTTCTTTCTCAGGAATATATACCCCGGTCAAACTTCTACATCCAAAATAGTTTGTACAGCAAGGAAGTTGGGAGAGAAGAAGATAGTGGCCAAACTGAACTCTACTCAAGTGAAAGGAATAACTGAGGAGAAGTTTATTACCATCACCGAGGATGAGGAGAGCAATGTACTGTGAATATAAGCTTTGTTTGATGCCTTGGTTGTGGGTCAACTGATGAGAAACAGGCAAGCACAAGTGTGTGAGTGACTGAAAGTTACATCTATTTTAGTTCAAGCTAATAGGGCTGTATTGATATGGAATAAAATGTTATATATTTTTTTCTTTGCAAGAGGACTTTGTAGAGGTCTATGCATTTTGCAATTATATGCACGGGTTCGGATATTATGTATAATTTTGGCATTTGAAGGCGAAACACACAGGATTTGGTCACACATTGTAGAAAATTTAATATAACACATTGGAGGATCCATTAGCTTGGTATTATAGACACAGGGTTTGCTATTATGCAAAACACAGGCATCACGCACAACTGTCCTCAACATCACATTCAGAAGGAAAAAGTAATAATGTGATGCTTTCTCTTGTGCTTGTCCTTTTGTGGCTTAGTTGGCCAATGCAGCACGGCTCACCAATTTTTGCTACCTGTTATAAAAGACATGTATGTGTACATATACATAAATTCATTGTGTCTTTGCCTACTTGCATTTGCCAAACAGTAGCTCACAGTCTGTTTTCCTAGCCTATGTATCTACAGCGATGAGAATGTAGACAACATCTAGTGACTTCTCAGAATCAGACACAAATGCGAGTTGGATTTTAAATGATACAGGAAATGACATTTGGTGCTACAGTTGTTCTTGCCTCTCTTATATTTTAATAAAATTGTGTAAATTAGCCATCTTCCATAATGTATATATAATGTGGAATTTGTGTGTCTTTTAATAAAATTTTAGTCCTTTTGAAACAAGAAAATGTGCATTTTCTTCAATAACTCAAATTTTTATCATGAGTTGCTGCTATAGGAAACGTTTTTGCCTATATCATGCCTCACAATAAAAAAATTACTATGAAATCTATTTGTCTTACTCTTTTTCTGTCCAATCACACAACGAAAATACACAGAAATATATTACACTATTGAATTAACACATTTATTGGCCTAATTTGGATGGATATATTGGAATATGGAAAGGAATGGATGTAAATACTTCATTTTATTGAATAATCAGATCTCAGGAGTTTAAATATTATTAGATAAATGACAAAGTGGACTGTAATACAATGAAATTTTGTGAGGAGGAGCTGACAGAGCATCTCTCGTGTATTTTGTACTTTAAAAAAAAAAAAGAGTTCAGCCTTTATTTGCTCCATTTGCCTTTTTAGATGTTAGCAGCCTTGAGTCCCCATGAATCCTTTGAAGACTGTTTGGAAGCTTCAAGTGGTCCAACAGGCGGCAGCCAGATTACTCACTAGAGCAGCGTACAGGGAGCATACCACCTCCCTGTTGTGTCAGCTCCTCTAGTTGCCAGTCTGCTACCGAGCACAATTCAAAGTGCTGGCTTTAGCCTATAAAGACCTAAACCGGTGGTTTTCAACCTGTGGGTCTGCAGGTGTTTTGGCCTAAAACTCCCAGAAATCCCAGGCAGTTTACCAGCTGTTAGAATTGCTGGGCATTGAAGACCAAAACATCTGGGGAGCCACAGGTTGAAAACCACTGCCTTAAACAATTCTGGCCCAGCTTACCTGTCTAAATGTATCTCCCTCTATGATCCACCTCGGAGGTCAAGATCATCCAGGGAGGCCCTACTCTCGGTCCCACCTCCTTCGTAGGTGCAGTTGGTGGGGATGAGAGAAAGGGCCTTCTCAGTGGTGGCCCCTTGACTATGGAACCCAGAAGGAAGTGGAGGAGGCGGAGGTGGAGGAGGAGGTGGCGGAGGAGGAGGAGGTGGCGGAGGAGGAGGAGGTGGCGGAGGAACATACATAGATGTCTTTCCACCAAATAAAATCACCGACCTTGAAGTAATATACAATGAGGATGAGGAATTCGTCTTGACTTGGACAGCCCCTTGGGATGATTATGATTTTGGACAAGCTGACAGATATGAAATAAAAATGAGTGCAAACCCATTGGACTTAATAGAGATAATAATAATAATAATAATACTTTATTTGTACCCCGCTACCATCTCCCCAAGGGACTCGGTGCGGCTTACATGAGGCCGAGCTCACAATACAACAATAAACAATAACAACAATAATACAAAACAATAAATAACTCATAAGCAAAAATAAGCAATAAACATTAACAGTAACACGACGCGTTTAAAAACCTATGGCTGGGCCAAATGTAATAATTAATTTTTTAAAAATAATGCTGGGCATGACAAGGTGACATGGAACTGAGGTAGAAGTTTTTGGAGAGGGATGAGTGTGCAGACAATCTTAGATCACTAATAAAGAGCGTTTAGGGACATATTGCTGGGAGTTTCCTTATTCTGGGAAGGCACACTGAAACAACCACGTTTTCAGGCTCCTCCTAAAGATTGCCAGAGTTGGGGCTTGCCTAGTATCCCTGGGGAGTGAGTTCCAGAGTCGAGGGGCCACCACCGAGAAGGCTCTCTCCCTCGTCCCCACCAATCGCGCTTGCGATGGAGGTGGGAGCGTGAGCAGGGCCTCTCCAGATGATCGAAGAGATCGTTGTGGGTTCGTACACAGAGATGCGGTCACGCAGGTAGGCGGGTCCCAAATGGTTTAGGGCTTTGTAGGTGAGCACCTGCACCTTGAATTGGGACTGGTAAATGAACGGCAGATTAACTTTCCTAGTGCCACCTCTTTGGACATTTCTTCTCTGATACCTGAATTTGCTGGAGTAAAACAGACCTTTCGGTATAAGCCAGATGATCTCGCAAAAGAAAATGGCACCTTACTCTACTTTGCCATTCGTGCCATTGATGAAAACAACAATATTGGGGAAGTATCCAATATTGCAAGGGCCACTCTGCTCCTTCGTGCAGCGCCTCCTACTCCTACTTCCTCACGTGCCTCTGTGATCATAGTATGTGTTGCTGTATTGTGTGTTATTGCTGGCATAACATTATATGTTTTACATAAGTGGAAAAAAGTTGTCGTGAGAGCATTGATTGCATGGATTAAACTGCGTCCAGTCAAAATGTTAATTGAACACTATATGTTTCACTTCCATTGGTGGTTCTTAATACATTGTGTAAAAAACAGCAGCAGATCAACAGCATGAAGTTCATCTGTATTATGTATAATCTCATGAATGGGTGCATTGATGACTAAATGCAACCTGCCTGTTTTTCTCTCTGCTGTTTTTGCTGTTGCAATTTTAGAATTTTTTAATACTGGTAGCCAGATTTTGTTCATTTTCATGGTTTCTTCTCTGTTGAAATTGTCCACATGCTTTGTGGATTTCAATGGCTTCTCTGTGTAGTCTGACATGGTGGTTGTTAGAGTGGTCCACATTTCTGTATTTCAACAGAAAGGAAGAAACCATGAAAATGAACAAAATCTGGCTACCAGTATTAAAAAATTCTAAAATCAAAACAGCAGAGAGAAAAACAGGCAGGGACATCTAATCACCTTTCAAGAAGAGTTTGCTCCAGGCACAGTCAGCCCATTGTATGCTAATCAAGGTGGTCAGTTGAAAGATTCACACCTAGCCCAACTTACAAAAGCCCTTTGTCTCACCCTGGTCATTCCACAGATATATAAACCCCTTTTTCCCCAGTTCCAGCAGACCTCACCTCTGAGGATGCTTGCCATAGATGCAGGCGAAACGTCAGGAGAAATGCCTCTAGAACATGGCCATATAGCCCGAAAAAACCCACAAGAACTGAGTGATTCCAGCCATGAAAGCCTTCGACAATACAAATATAAACTTATTAGTATTTCATTGGGAAGTGTCGGTCTTCTTCCTGCAGAGTTCTGGGGTTTGTAGTTTAGGGAGGAGCCTTAACAGCCTCACTAAACTACAAACCCCAGAATTCTGCAGGAGGCAGAAACCGGATTTTAAGTGGATTTTTTTCTTTAATGTGGATTCTCCATAATGTCTCCATCCAAAATTCAAATTCCAAAGTGGCACTGTTGCTTTAAATCTCATGCGATTCAGTATTACATGCCCACAGGTCTCCCTCTCGCTTCCTCTTTTCAAAAGGCTGCCAAACAGTGGCAGGAAAGCAAGTGCTTCTCTGAGCTGAAGGATGCGTCATAGGTGGGCGGAGCTATCTTGTTACGTCACCGGAGACAACCCGGAAGCGCGTCCACGTGCTTTTCCTTGGCTGCTTCAGGAGAGAGATGGCAGGCGGAGTGGGCTCTGCGTGCGCTGCCGGGGCCGGCCTCTTGGGGGCGCTGGCCGCCTGCTCGGCTAAACTAGCTCTGGGCGCTGACTACTTGCGGGCGGGCTGCCTTGCGCTCGTGGCGGGAGACGAGTCCGCCGCTGGCCTTTGCGTTTGGGTAAGAGCCGCCCTCGCGCTCTCTTTGGGAACGCACCAATCAGCGAGGCGCTTCCTTTCCAGTAGGAGGCGCCGTCTTGCTGCAGAACAGAAGAATTGGTGCGGGTGCGCATGCGCAGCAGTATTGGCCACATTCAGAGCGTTTCTGTGTGGTTGACAATGAGCAGCCAGAGCTTTGCAAAAGAATATTAATGCCTGTGAAATGTGTTTCTATGGGAATTAACAATTAGACCACATCCCGTAAGTTTTCCTTTGGTGACTAATAAAAAGAAATAAAGCTCTGTTAGCTTAAGCCACAGGCCTATCCAGTCAGGCATTGTATTTGCATAGTGGTCAGTCATATGCAACTGGGAAGCCCACAACAGGACATGGAACTTAGTGGCATCCTCTTGCTCATTTCCCCCCAAAGAGCAACTATTCAGTGACATATTACTTCTGGTATTGTAATATATCATACAGTCATCAGGATTAGTACTCATTGATTTCAGTCCCGGGAAAACAATGCAGAATGCAATGGACCCACCTCATGCCATCTTCTGACAGTGGCAGAATCGTTAGGAGAAGTGTGTGGCAGCCCAAAGGGACTACTTTGAAGGACATTAGTGTAAAATTGTTGTATCTTAATACAATTATTTTTTAATGAAGAAAGGTTGAATACTTTTTGAGCACACCTCATATTTTATGCCTTTTGGTAGGTCACTTTGAGTCTCAGCCTTGGAGTCAGATGCGATATAAATAAAGGAATTGATAGATGAAAGACTGATAGTTGAAAGACACCCAAAGAATTCTAGATATACCAAGACAGGAATTCGTTCTTTAGAAGTTATTTTAGCTCTTCTTCTCTCGAGAGAGAGAGAGCAGTACGTGTGAAAAAGATCTTGGAGTCCTCGTGGACAGCAAGTTAAACATGAGCCAACAATGTCATGTGGCAGCAAAAAAGCCAATGGGATTTTGGCCTGCATCAATAGGAGCATAGTGTCTAGATCTAAGTCTATTCTGCCTTGGTTAGACCACATCTGGAATATTGTGTCCAATTCTGGGCACCACAATTCAAGAGAGATATTGACAAGCTGGAATGTGTCCAGAGGAGGGTGACTAAAATGATCAAGGGTTTGGAGAACAAGCCCTATGAGGAGCGGCTTAAAGAGCTGGGCATGTTTAGCCTGAAGAAGAGAAGGCTGAGAGGAGACATGATAGCCATGTATAAATATGTGAGAAGAAGTCACAGGGAGGAGGGAGCAAGCTTGTTTTCTGCTTCCCTGGAGACTAGGACACGGAACAATGGCTTCAAACTACAAGAAAGGAGATTCCATCTGAACATGAGGAAGAACTTCCTGACTGTGAGAGCCGTTCAGCAGTGGAACTCTCTGCCCCAGAGTGTGGTGGAGGCTCCTTCTTTGGAGGCTTTTAAACAGAGGCTGGATGGCCATCTGTCAGGGGTGCTTTGAATGCATTATTCCTGCTTCTTGGCAGGGGGTTGGACTGGATGGCCCATGAGGTCTTTTCCAACTCTTTGATTCTATGATTCTATGATAAAGTTTGATAATTTCAGTCTTCCACTTTTTCAGCTTATCATTTCCATTGATCACATTTTACAAATTATGTCACAGGAAATACTGGAAGGGTTTGGTTGGCTATTGACCTTGAGTTTGGGAGTTATAGTTCACCAAACTCCAGAGAGCATTGTGGGCTCAAACAATGATGGATCTGGACAAAATATTGGCACAAATACTCAATATGCCCAAATGTGAACAGGTGGAATTTGGGGAAAATAGAGCTTGACATTTGGGAGTTGTAGTTGCTGGGATTTATAGTTCACCTACAATCACAGAGCATTCTGAACCCCACCAATGAGAAAATTGGGCCAAGCTTCCATGCAGAACCCCCATAAACAACAGATAAAATACTGTGTTTCCTGATAGTATTTGGCGACCCCTCTGACACCTCCTCGCGACCCCCTCAGGGGTCCTGACCCCCAGGTTGAGAAACGCTGCTCTAGGCCAATATCTACCTTAACACAATATCTACCTTAACACAGAAACACATGACTCTCCCTCTCCCAGTGTCTCTTTCCTCTATTTTGATTAGGAAATTACCCAACAGCAAGGGATTGAGATCTCACCTAGCACCACTGACGCTGTTAATTAAGCAGAACTCTGTTATTTCTTTTACGATGAAGATGTCAATAGATCTAACCACTGATCTCCCATTCAAAATACAGTTTTGACTCTTATGGCATGGTTGACTGTGAATTCTCCCTTGGTTCACACTTGTGATTAATGGTTTCCCCATGTATTGCTACCATGAAACACAAAAGCTTTCTGGAGTCTGATCCCTGAGTAACTGAAGGCAGCTGAAGGTGTGGTGGAGGCTGGTTAATCCGCATGGAGAACCAACACCTTTCTGTTCTGTTTATTCAAAGGTCCATTTATTTGTGCGCATTCTGATTCTCCCACCCTTACCCTTTTCTTTGCCTTCTAGTATTTTGTTGAGCCCGCCTTATGTAAGCTGCTTGCAGGTTGGGCACACCCATCGAGGCACAGTTTCATTAAAAACCAGCATGACCTCCTGTATTCATGGGGATTTTCAAGTTCATTTGTACAGGCAGTTTCATCCCATCCCATCCCTGCCACTGCTACCCCAACATTGCCCCAAATATGAAAAAATGAGTATGTTTTTATTAGCATAAATGGGGAATATAAGCTGCTAACTGATGAGGAGGAAGAAAGAACTCTTGAACGAACAGTTTTATTTCTCTGCATTATTGTATTTGTATGGAGCACATTGTTTCTGGAAGTTTTGCAAGGGACCGTCAGGAGCAATGTTAGAACTGAGTAGGAACTTTCTGATTTTTGAGCTGATATTATCATCCATAAGAAAAAGAACTTGTATTCTAAAAGGCATCAAACAAAAATATGTATGATAAAATCTGTCTCAAGTCCGAAGTCTCTTAATTTTTCCTGGCTTTTCAAATACTGGCAAGGAGGCAAAAAGAAGGTGTGTGAGCAAAATGGAAGAAGGACGGCACACTAAGAAATAATAATAATAATAATAATAATAATAATAATAATAATAATCTTTATTTATACCCCTGCCACCATCTCCCCGAAGGGACTCGGGGCATGTGACGACGTGAGTGGCGCCACCTATGTGTAGAGCTGTTAGTTGCAAGATTTAAATTGTTGTATCATGCTTAATCCTGCCTTTTTACCCTGCTTATGTATAGTTGGACTGATTGGTTATTTATAGCTGTCAATCAGTGTGTTTGGCTCCACCTCTTCCTGGAGGAGGGGAGTGCTTCCCTTTTTCATTCTGCCATCAGAGTTTCTATCAGATGGACGTGAGTAAGAGACTTGGCTCTAAAAGCCCCTGATTAAATTACCTCTCAGCACCAATTCTGAGGTTTTTTACCCTTGAGACTTATGCTTCATGTTCAGACCAACCTGAACGACGTTGGAAGTCTCAAGCCCTTCAAACCGGTTCTTTTGGCACCAGAGGAAGATCCTGAGTCTTCAAACATAGGCCATTTGAACTGGGGTTGTGGATTGCTCCGGCATTCACAGCCATTGAGGAAAGAGGAAACTTGGAAAAGCTTCTCAGCTTCAAACTCCTTGGACCCAGGACTAACTGAGACTGTAACGTATATTTTCCTTCACCCCTCTGAAGTTTCCAGCTCATTGCTTTAAAGAAATAACTCTTTGTGATCAATAAAACTTATTTTGAGTTATCTACAGTGTTTTGGGTCTTTGAGAGTTCCAGTTTCCTAAAGGAGGGCAAGAAGCAATCCCCTGGGGAAAGATGTCATGTCCATGCCTCTTTCACTAAGAGCTATAGCCCCCAGGCGCGAAGGCACAGGGCAGCTAACATGAGGCCAAGCCCAAACAAATTACAATAGAGCAAAAGTACATATAAACAAAATAATAACAGCAAATAAAATACTTAATAAAAACATCGTAATGAAATGAAAATAACAAATGAACACATCTTCCCCTATGAACCATCGCAGAGATTAAGATCCTCTGGGGAGGCCCTGCTTTCCATCCCGCCATTGTCACAGGCACGATTGGTGGGGACAAGAGACAGGGCCTTCTCGGTGATTGCTCCCCGGCTATGGAACTCCCTTCCTGGTGAGATCAGGTCGGCCCCCTCCCTCCTGTCCTTTAGAAGGATGGTAAAAACTTGGCTGTGGGACCAAGCTTTCGGGACAGGGCAATAAAGTGGCAATAGGAAAGATGACCAGGCCAATGATTTGACGTGGATGACTAGGACGATTTTAAATGGTGTATTTTAATATTTTGATAAATGTTTTTTAATGTTTATGTATTGTATGTGAATCTGTGTTCTGACATTGAATGTTTGCCGTGTATATGCTGTGCCCTGAGTCCCCTTCAGGGTGAGAAGGGCGAAATATAAATGTTTTAAATAAAAATAAAATAAAATCATAATAAAAAACCAAATGATAAAATGATAATAGACTTCGACAAAGAGAGCAAGGCCCATGGATAAAAATGGATAGAGTTTGATGAAACCCATGAGTGGGATAGGTAGAAAGTGCTATGATTTGTGGGGAGCTCGGACGGAATAACAAGATTTATTCAAAGAAGGTCTGCCATTCTATAAGACAGAGCAAGGCGACCATGTGAGATTCCATAGCTAAGTCAGTCTTTCAAAATAACTATAAGGTAAAGAAATAGACTTTCTGTCCATCATGGAGAAAGAGGATCAAAGACATGATTCTCCACTATTAAAAAAGTGTTTTCTCATATTTCCATTCCATTCTTTAAAAACAGTTCACAAAATCATGGGCTAGAGATCAGATGTTGTCTGTTTAATCCAAAATGTTTGTGAAATGTTTGGAAATTACAATGCAATTCATTGTCTTTCCCAAATTATTCAACAGTTACCCGTGATGCTTCGAGTAGGGTGTGGTGGTCTGATGCTTGCATGTAATGCCATAATGTGGACTCTCTTTGCCAAAGCACTAAGATATTCCTCCTCCTCTGCTACAGCAACTGTTACCTCAACAGCTTCCAACTTCATCTCTTCGGTGAGTATATGCAGACACCTACATTGCATTTTTTTGCCGAGTTTGTTGACATTTTGCTGTCTAGATATATCCTTGTTTATTTGTATGAGATGTAAGTGAGATGGGAAGCTCACAGAAAAATAGCTGTATTGCAAAACCAAATGTAAGGTACACTCTGGCTGCCAAACTCCAAATGAAAACAGACACATTCTTGGAGAAAACAGACTACAACTTCGCTTGGTTACAGCTTTAATCATAGGTTGGCCACACATGAGCCTGGATTCAAGCAATGACCAACCTGCCTGTTGCTTGATAAGCCCACAGATCTGGCCTGGTGCCAGATCCCCTAGAAATGTCTGCAATATCATCTGAACCAACTCCAGCCGTGGTCTCAGCTACCAAGAGGTATGGAAAGTCTTTACCTAGCACTGGGCAAGAGCATTTCCGTCCTCACTCATCAAACCCCCTACTAAGACTTCTATCCAAACCAATGTCTGAAGGGCACTGGTCACCAGTCCTGCATCCAAGATTTATGCCAACTGCCCCACAAAATTGTGGCAAATAAATGCAGTAACACATATCCACAGGGATCAGAGGGAGTGTGGGTGGGATGACAGCATGGATCACTAAAGCCAGGCAGTGGGGGCCTGACAGCCAGTGAAGAAGCAGGACACAGCTACCTACTCATTGGGTGTTCATCACATCATTCAGGAATCCCCTACAATCTTATATAAATAAAAATGTAATGTTAGTTTGTGCTACCATCAGAACTCAAAAACCACTGGGGGAATTGACACCAAATTTGGACACAAGACACCTAACAGTCCAATTTATGTCCTCCACTCAAAAAAATTGATTTTGTCATTTGAGAATTGATGTTGCTGGGATTTATAGTTTACCTCCAGAGAGCACTGTGGACTCAAACAATGAAGGATCTGGACCAAACTTGGCACGAATATTCCATATGCCCAAATATGAACACAGATGGAGTTTAAGGGAAATAGACCTTGACATTTGGGAGTTGTAGTTGCTGGGATTTATAGTTCACCTACAATCAAAGAGCATTCTGAACTCCACCAATGATGGAATTGAACCAAACATGGCATACAGGACTTCCATGACCAACAGAACACACTGGAAGGGTTTGGTGGGCATTGACCTTGAGTTTGGGAGTTGTAGTTCACCTACATCCAGAGAGCACTGTGGACTCAAACAATGATGGATCTGGACCAAACTTGACACAAAAATTCCATATGCCCAAATATGAACACAGATGGAGTTTGGAGGAAATAGACCTTGACATTTGGGATTTGTAGTTACTGGGATTTATAGTTCACTACAATTAAAGAGCATTCTGAAACCCACAAACGACAGAAATGGGGCAAACTTCCCACACAGAACCCCCATGACCAACAGAAAATACTTAAGGCCATCCAGTCCAACTCTCTTCACCAGGGCAAGAAAATGTAATCAGAGCCCTCCTGACAAAGAGCCATCCAGTCATAAATATAGATAGATATAGATATGATTCTCTCTCACACACACAGATATAGTATCATAGATTTGAAAGAGACCTTTAAAGAAGGACTATGATATGTTGCATATTCCAGAGTAGGCAAACCAGACACTCTCCACATCAACACTGACAAAGAAACAACAAGAAATACTGTTTACTCACAAGCATAAAGGAATTACATATATTAGAAACCAACACTTTCTCATTACTTTATTTTCCAGATCACCAGACTGGGCCACAGCAACGCGTGGCAGGGGGCGGCTAGTAGATTATAATAGGGCAGTTTCCACCCTGTGAACTGCATGTGGCCTCCAAAAGAGTCAGACTTTCCAAAATGTTTAAATGACCCAGAACATGAGGGCTTCCACTTAACATGTCTCAATTCCCAGAACACATACAAAAAAAAAAAAAACATTGAGGGGAAAACAAAAATATAAAAAATGGAAATAGATGACCCCCATGTTTTCTTTAGACCGTGGTTTCTAAAGTACAGAGACTTTGCCAGCTAAGGTGCACCTGTATTTTTAAAACATTTCATAGGCAATTGGATAGAGATCTTTTGAAAGGCCACAAACCAATGTAAACTTGACAAAAGGTTTGCCAATGGCCACATCCCAAACGACAAGCAACTGACTCCTTCTGCATTCTCTTAGTTTATCCCTCACATCATTGAGTTGATCATAAGCAAGATTTAAATCTTGAGATAGTGTTGATGCAAATTGATGGGCAACTATAGTTTCCAGATACAGTTGGACTGCACCTTCCATGATTCCTTGTCAAAGTTTAATGTTAGTTAAGGCTTCAGTTACCCAACCCTTTTTGTATAGTTGTCAAGATTGCCACACACCCACAAAAATATAAACATTTAGGAAATATCAGTTATGAAGTATCTTGCTTTTGCTTCTTTACAGTACACATCTATATGGAATTTAAAGTATTTGTCTACCTGACTGTTGTGCTATATAAATCCATATATTGGATTACTCAGCTGCCAGATGTAATGTGATAAAACCAAGCTTTTGGACCTCGTTCTTAAGTAGCTTGGATCAATTGCCTTCCAAACATACATTTTGGATTGATGTCTATTTCGCCCTAGAATATACATTAGTCAACTGATTTTGACTAAAGTTGATATAATGAACATTTTTGAACAAGTTCGGGACTGTTCTGCAAAGTTTGCTTTTTTTTTCAGAAAATTGCGACTTTGAGTCCATGTTTTATGAAACTTGGTGTGAAACAGAATTCTAGGTGTTATTAGCTATTTTTTTCATTTAAATCGTAAGTATCATTAGCAACACATGCCATGCCAACAGTTCAATTCCAAATTCTTTTTATTGTGTAGCCAAAACGGCACTATGCGCACAAGGGATGAACAGTTTGGGGGAACTGAATGTTGGTCTCTTTTTTCTATTACTGGGACAAGGTAGTTCAAACCATCCCAATAATAATAATAATAATAATAATAATAATAATAATAATAATAATAATAGTGTGGATTGTCAATGTTGCAAACCGAGGCGACAGCAGGATTGAAGAGAAACAACTGGAAAACCTGACACAATATGAGGATTTAAAGATGGAACTGCAAAGACTCTGGCACAAACCAGTAAAGGTGGTCTCAGTGGTGATAGGCACACTGGGTGCAGTGCCTAAAGACCTTGGCCTGCACTTAAACACAATTGGCACTGACAAGATTACCATCTGCCAGCTGCAAAAGGCCACCCTACTGAGATCTGTACTCATTATTCACTGATACATCACACATCCTAGACACTTGGGAAGTGTCTGATGTGTGATCCAATACAACAGCCAGCAGAGTGATCATGTTTGCTGTGGACTCATCTTGTTGTGTTTCAAATAATAATAACAATAATAATAATAATAACAACAACAACAACAACTATTACTACTACTTTATTTGTGTCCCCCCCCCCCCCCAACCAATCTCCATGGAGGGACTCGGCGTTGCTTACATGGGGACGAACCCAATCAACATAGTTAAAATATAACACATTAAAATACATAAACAGCACCATAAAACAACAACATTATAACAACATATAAGAGCAAGCATCAAACCAACAACCAATGAACCTGCAATAATGATCAGACTGGTGCAAATCAATTGTGAGGATAGAGCTGATGGATAAAGTGTATAAGTCACATGACAACAGTAGAGATAGAGGGCAATGTAAGATAGAGCATTATAACTTTGGATAATGAGGGTAAGATTTTTGGGTCCTAGCTGGGGCCACGCTATCTGGGGAATTGTCTAGTCAAAAGCACAGCGGATATCTCCTTGCCTCCTCCAAATACATCAGTCTTCTTCTCTAATCAGTTCTATAAACATTCTATGCATTAACACCTACAAACAGTGCATTTTGTCAAATTCTTCGAAATACGGTAACTTCCAGGTTTTCAAATAATTTTAATTGGGCTCAGTACATGAGTTCATTCCCATCGAGATTTGAACTGCATAACTGGAAATCCATATATGTTATATGTTTGCATAACATGGAGTTGTGCATAGTTTTGAAGATATTACAATAGGAGGTGCTTAGTACCTCCTTGCACAACCCTCTGCCATATACATGGAAGCCAATTTCCCAGCAACAGGGCACTTCCACTCAACTGTTTAGTATCCATAGAGACAAACGGACACCCTACCAGCAGCCCACTGTTATTCCATAGCTGGGGGAAAAATATCACCCACCCACTAAATGATTTATTGGCATTGAGTAACTGTTCTGTGTGAGACAGAACCGGCAACCCAGGAGAACTAGGCCAGCAGGTGTTTTCACTCTCCAGTATAGGATTTTGCATGTTGTTTTATGCTTCAGCTTTGCTATCGATTATTATATTTTGGTCGAGGAACTTCCTCTGTTTTTCTTTTAGGCTTTCCTTGGCAAGTTGCTGTTTGGGGAGACTCGTGCCCTGTTATGGTGGATAGGGATATCTATTACTCTCCTTGGACTTTTGCTTCTCCACACTGAGCCACATCTTCCAGAAGAACAAAACCACCCAAAGGAAAAGACGAAATAGAAACCTAAGGGATTTTTCATTCATGATGCAGACCGGAAACGACATCAAGCCAAAAAAAGCAGGCGTTCTTGCTGTCTTCAGTTAGGCATGAGATATTTTCTCTCCTTTTGTTTACTTGGATGGTTTGCAACAGATACCTATTGTTACTTACTGCAAAGACTGTGCTGACAGATATGGTGGGTTGAATGCTACGGCACCAAACCACAAAGGAGTGCCTTTAAGGAGAAACTGGAATTCCTTTGGCCTCTGAAGGTCATACATGACAGCATCTGGTAAATAAAATAGTTGCTACCGAACTTAACAAATTAGCAATTGAAGCAAATAGTCTTTCACAATTTTAAAAGAAAGACAGTGTAATTCTTCTGGCCATGAAAGGCCATGCATGAAAGCATGAAACACGAAACATGAAAAGTTACTACACAATTTAACAAATTACTAATTGGAGCAAATGACCTGTCACAAT